ATAGAACACCAGCCCTGGAGTCAGGAGGACCTGAGTTCAAATTCGACCTCAGACACATGATACTCACTAGCTATGTGACCCTAGGCAAGTCACTTAACCCTGATTGCCTCACAAAGAAAAAACATATTAAAAAACTTTTTTTGTTTATAGCTATGTCTACATATTACTTTAAAAAATTATTTGTTTGACTTTGCTTCTTTATGACCTTCCTTATCAGAAAAACTTTTAGAGATCCTACAACTCAACTGGCAGCTTCTAGTAAACAGTGGAAGCCACAGATTTCTTTTCCTAAAAATTAATGTGTAGATGGAAGATGCCAAGATGAGATGTTCACTTGCTGTGAGCTCCCATATATATCGAATAATTGGACAATAAAGCCCCTGCAGCATTAACCTCACACCCATCAGATTAGCAAAGACAACAAACAAGGAAAATAACAATTGTTGGAGGGACTGTGGGGAAATAGACACGCCAATGTGCTGTTGGTGGAGCTGTGAAATGGTTCAGCCATTCTGGAAAGCAATTAGGAACTATACCAAAAAAGTCACTAAATAGATCCAGTGATACTATTACTAGGGCTATTCCTCTAAAGCAGAACAAATCCTGAATCTGTTCTGTGAAGTTTGGATTTCAGTCAAAGGGCTGCATTGAGGACCTAGAGGGCCACATGTGATCTCGAGGCTGCAGGCTCCCCACCTCTGCCCTAAAGAGATCAAAGAAAGGGGACAATACACATAAATATAATTACAGCAGCTTTTTTTTTGATAGAAGCAAAGAGCTAGAAATGAGAGAGTGTCTATTTATTGAGGGATGGCTAAGCAAATTTGGTATATGAATGAAATGGAATATTATTGTACCATGAGAAAAGATGAAGTGGATAGTTTCAGTGAAACCTGGGAAAACCTGTATGAATACAGGTTAATGATGTAGAATTAAGTGAGTAGAATCAGTTAAACAATTTTTATATAGGAAGCACAATAGTTTTGCAAGACCTGAGAACTCTGATCAATGCAGTGACCAGCCATGATTACAGAGGACCAAAGAAGTAGAATAAGACATATATTTTCAAACATGGGCAATTTATGAATATTTTGCTTGACTCTCTCTCTCTCTCTCTGTTTTTAAAAACAAAAAAGCTTCGTTCCATCCTATCCTTACCACCCTCCCCACATACATACCTCCCCCATGTTTGGGTGGGAATAAGCAGGCAAAGAGGGATAGGGTAGCAAAAATAGAGAGAGAAGAGCAGGGGTTACTGAGGCATTTATTTTTTAAATGGAGAAAAAAGTTATAGTCTCCTGTCTGATTTTCCTTCCATGATTGTGTACCCCAGCCAGCCATCTTGATGTAAGGCTTGGGATGAATACAGAGACGACTTTTCCACACCAGGAGCCCATTCATTTAGGAAGAGATATTGCTCCCCCTGGGGCTTTTCTGTCTCCCAACTTGGGACCAGTAGCTATAACTGTGTCCACAGGAAGGGGGCTTCTTTGGCCTGGCTCCAGGACTTCAAAGGCCTACTCAAGGCTACAGGGGCTTTCTAATTAGATTAGATACTCTCTGTCCATCACTCACTCTATTCACTCTCCCAGAGAATGCTGGGGAACATGAAGGAGTCACTTGATAAGCAAGCACAGACTCTGCTGCTGGTCACAGCCTTGACCTTGGGCTGCTGAAATAGGAGAATGAGGAGGCTCTACAATGTTTCAAAACTTGATGCAACTAGCATGATGTCATCCACAAAAAGGAAGCTCTTGAGGACCTCACCACCTGTAGGGAACCCACCTTCACCTGGAAGCCTGGAATGGATCTCCTCTGTAAGTGTGGTGAATATGTATGCATCTCCCTGCATTATGACTTCCCTAATGTTAGTGAACCAGGGGGTCGTGAAACAAGGTTTTCTCATACATCTCTCAAGGTATCTTACATAATCTTGAAGAAGACAGCCTTTAAGACAGCATTTGGTTCTTCTGAAGTAACTATCTTTCCTTAGTCAACTAACACTAACCCCACACAGTGGGGTCTTATATTTTCTACGTTTTTCAATCAATTATGCTATGTTAAAGATGTTATCTTTTGAAATGTTGCTTTAAAAAGCCTTACTATTCCCTATTAATGGTCTTATCGAGGATGTTAGTATAACTGAATCTAAAGAGTGGTAACTAGGCATATGGGTTAACAAGTGTTGAGGGTCTCCTGTTGATCACTTTTTTTTTCAATATTAACAGTCTGAGATCCTTTTTCTCATCAAAAAAAAAAAAAAGAGAGAGAGAAACAAACAGAAGGTAGGCCAGAAAGGCCAGACAATCAGGATAACTTTGAAAGCTACAGGTTCATCTTATTATAGACTTTAAAACCAAAGCAAGATGCACATAATAGACCTGTAAATTCACACAAAATCCTCCTTTTCTGTCATACATACACAAAAGTCTGTTCTTTTTGGTGTTTACATTCTGAGTAAAAATGAAAGTTAGAGGCAGCTAGGTAGTGCACTGGATAGAGTGCTGGGCCTGGAGTCAGGAAGACTCATCTTCCCAAGTTCAAATCTAGCCTCGGACATTTAATCCTGTGTGACCAGGACAAGTCACTTAACTGTGTTTGTCTCAGTTTTCTCAACTGTAAAATGAGCTGGAGAAGGAAATGGCAAACCACTTCAGTACCTTTGCCAAGAAAACCCCAACTGGGGTCATGAAGAGCTGGACACGACTGAAAAATTACTCAACAACAAAAAAGAAAAGCTAATTTTTAAAATTCGTGCAGAATAGCCAGGCAATAGTCAATGAGCGCAGGCTGGAACTGAAAAGGGTCAGTGCATGAAGAGATGGAGGCTGAGCCAAGGCCCAAGTAGGACCAGAACTTCTAGATTCTCCAAGTGCTTGGGAAGAAAGGGAATCACAGGCTAAGGTGGTGAGGTCCCTTTTCTTAGGCCAGAGAGGGAGGTCCCCTTTACTGTCATGTGTCACCCAGGTATAAGAGCTTGTGGTACAAAAGCCTCCAAAATGGGAGAGAACGGGCTAGTATATGTGTCACAACTGAAGAAGGCCCCTACTAATTATGGGAAAGCTGGATAATTAACTTTTTTTTTCCAATTCTGGTCCTGTAGCTCAGACACCAGGATACATGGAAAGATAAGGAATAAAGAATGGGCTCATTTGATGACTAATTTTCATAGACTTAGCTCTTCTCAGCAAGGCAAGGATCTAAGACATCTCCTCATTATGCAAAATGCTATCCACATCCAGAGAAAGAACTATGGAGTTGGAATGCAGATTGAAGCATACTATTTGCTCTTTTTTTTCTCTTCTGTTTTGTTTCATCTTTTTTGTGGTTCCTCCTATTGGTTCTAATTCTTCTTTACAACACGACTAATGTCAGAATGTTTAATAGGATATATATATATGTAGAGCCTATATCAGATTGCATGCCCATCTTGGGGAGGAAGGTGGGGAGAGAGGGAGAGAAAATTTAAAACTTAAAAGCTTATGGAAGTGAATGCTGAAAATTAAAATTAATTAATTTTTTAAAACCACTAAAATCCAAAACAAAACAAAAAAAAGAATGGGCTATAAATTGCCAGGAGAAGTATGTTTTGTCTATTGTGACTTTTGCCCTTTGGATGGGACATGAGTTGGGAATTTTATGTTGCTGTCAATGACTCAATATGGAGACCAGAACAGCTGGGATCCTGTTTGCTGGAAATCGAGGTAAGTGTGGTCTTGGACACTGGGCACCACAGAAACAACTAGGTATAGCAGACCACTGAGGCACCCCTGCTGCTAGTCACACAATCTGCCAGAGGCTCACGGACACTGAGACTCATTATATTAAATAAAATGGGCCGGAGAGTGGATGGTAGTGAAGGGGTTAACCTGGCTAAGGGTCAGAGGGAGGAATAGCGAGTGGGCAGGCCCAAGGACAAAATACCTGATAACAGTTGCTGGCTGAGGGAAAGTGTGAGAACTATACTCCCATGCCCTCCCCTAAAACTTTATCTAGTAGAAAATGTGGTTAACAGTAAGTGTTAACTAACAGTAAGGACTGATTTGATTACTGGTTATCTCGAGCTAAGGAAGCCTGGCAGTGGAAAGGGAAGGGCTGCCCAGGAAAGAGTCCAAGAGAAAGGGAGCCTCAGGAAAATGAAGTAATTAGAGATACTTCTAAGGAAGAATGGGAAGATTGGGGGGCTGCAGGACACTAGCCAGTAGCTTGCATTCTGTGCTTAGCTCATCACAGGTGGTTCTGGGAAGGTGGTTCAAGAGCTGGGCCAGCAGCAGGAAGAGTAACAGGGGAGTTATGACAGCAAGGGAAAGGCCTGGGAATTCATACATCTCTGGGGAAGGGTGCGTAGCGTCCAAATGTTCTGGATCTAAAGAATACCATGGCCAAAGCACACGTTTCCACAAAAATAAACAGCTTTTCTAACTACACGATGGTTAAGCTACTCATCAAAGTGGGCCAGTGCTGCAATGCTGGCAGGGGTCATAATACTGTATAGGGGAATGGGCTGAAGACTCACTGTTTTTAGAATATGTATAGTATAGAACATGTATAGTATCTCACATGCTCCAGCACCAGAGGCAGAGAGACAGGAAGCCTCATGAAGGAACAAACATGATCATTCCCCACAATTATGCCCACTAAGGCACCTCATCCCAACCTAGACTGAGAGGGATCCTAATCATGTGAAAAAAAAAAACAACTCTCTAAATAAAACCACTCTAAATGACTAGCCTCTTGGAGATATCTAATTGGCTTTTTAAAAATCACTTTAAACCTCTGTTTTAAAATCTCCACATCCTGTTTAAATATGTTCTTCAAAATTATGTTCTGTCAATTTGAATTTGGAACTGGAAAGGTTGTTTAAAGGAAGAAAAAAAAAGGCTTTATAGCCTGCAGCAGCTAAGCCAGGCTGTAGAAGCAAGTACAGGTTGCTAAGGGAACAACAGAATGGAGATATCGGAAAATTAAACGCATTAACAAAAGCAAAACACACCTTAGTATGAATGTAAGGAACTAGAGTGCAATTTTTATACATGTCGAGGTCAAAAATTAATTTGAACACAATAATTCTGAAAGAAAAGAAGTAAAAAAGGGATCACATTGTTTGAAATACTCACTATACAAAAAAAATTGTCCAGCAATGTATCTAATCTGCAGGTTAAAAAAAAAATCAAAATGCTGTGCAAGTAGATATTGATTGGACAGTCCTATAGTCCTTAATAAGATATTACCCTATTTTCCCACAGTTTCTGAAATAGAAGCCAATTATTTCTTAGAAGTAAAATAAAAATCAGAATTTTAATCTACTTACTCATTCTTTTTACCAGGCTTAGTTTTTTAAGCCCTGATGAGGCACAAAATATCAGCTATACCAAACTTACTTTGCTAATGGTCAATCACTAAAACATCAAAATTTCAGGATTAAAAACCTTAAGATCATTTCCAGGGAAGCACATACATCTGTCTGCAAATGTCCACATAGCTTCTTTGTGACCTGCCATGGAAAAATCATTTCTAGTTTTCTGAAAGAGTCAACAGCACAGTATGGAGTGGCATAAAGGCACACAAATATTCTTTTAGATTTAATAAATTTGGCAACTCCAACTTACAAATGACATTCAAGCCCAAACCCAGGTTTCATTATTTTCAAAGCCAGAAATATGAATGTCATATCTCCCTCTCCCATCATGAAACACCAGGTTGTCAATTCCTCTCTGCAGGATTTGTTCAGAGTGGAATATTTGCATGCTTCTTCCAGGGGCTGGACTGCTTTTTGTTTGCTAACACATCTAGGTCATGGCAGATTCGGGGACGAGTTGTAGAAGGCTGGATGATGTCATCCACAAACCCTGTTTAAACACAGAAAAGGAAACAGACATTATTTTCATCCTCATTTAGTCCAAGTACAGGGTGAAAGTCAATAAAACAACTGAAACAATCAACAACAAAGACACCTACCATTCTTCACACTTCACTACCATGCTCAGCTTAATTAACCCATCAAAGTCTGAAGGCTGCCAGGCTTGAGCAAAGAGCCACCCTACAGTGATAGTACAAACAGCCTAACATGGAGACAAGGGAAAGGGGAAGAAAAGTGGGGATGTGCCATTTTCAATACAGCCTGGGAGTTTTCATAGAATACAAGTGGGACAAGCCTGGGGTCGGATTGTGGGGAAAGTGGTAGTGTGGTACATATTCACTGGTATAGAAAAGGCCCTGCTGGGAACTAGAAATATTTAAATATATACATACCCAGGCCAGCCATGTCTTCGTTTTGCTCCAGGCTCTACTCCTAACCTTCCCAACATTCTCTGCTATGCCCTTGAGTGGGTACCCCCGTTTTCAGCTTCCTTTTGTGTGTTATAGTCCTCCATTAGAACATAAGCTCCTTGAAGGCAAGGACTATCTTTCTGCTTTTATTTGTTTTTACCATTCTTTGTACTCCCCCAGCTTAGCACAGTGCCTGGGTGCAGAGTAAGTACTTAATAAAAGCATATTGACTTAGAAAAAAAAGCAAAAAACTCCCCACTAAACTCTTAATATACCTTTCCTGAAAGTCTCAGAGAGCTCCTTAGAGCAGTGAGGGCTTAAAGGATTTACTCCTCGTGTAACTAGGGGCAAATCAGTCACTGGGTCTCAGTTTCCTCAACAGTAAAGGTGGTGGCTGCAATAAATGGCCCCTCTAGTCCCTCCAATGTCTATTATTTGTTAGGCAATAAGGAACCATTCATGGAGTTTGAGCAGAGAAAAGACATGATCGTATCTGCACATTAAGATTAATCTAGCAATGACATGAAAGATGCACTGGAGGGTGGACAGCAGAAGTGGGAATTCTTGGGGGTCATAACAGTGGTCCAGGAGGGGACAGTGAGAAACTATATGCTCTTCTAGCAATGGAAGAGAGAAGGAACGAATATGGGAAATATCACAGAGGTAGAATCTAAAGGACTTGACAATTGGAGAGTGATGGAGAGGTTACATGGAAGTTTCAAGCAAGATTACTGGTGGCATCATTGACAGAAATGGGAAAGTCCACAGAAATAGTAAATCTGGGTTGGGGGGAAAACTCTGAAGTCTGGGAGATTATATAGCAAAATCTTCATAGCAGCACTTTTTTTTTTAAAAATAGTATTTTATTTTTTCCAATCACATGTAAAGATAGTTTTCAACATTCATTTTTTATAAAATTTTGAGTTCCAAATTTTTTCTCCCTCTCTCCCTCCCATCCCCCCTCCCTAAAACAGCAAGCAGTCTGATACAGGTTATACATGTGCAATCATGTAAACAAATTTCCACATTAATCATATTGTGAAAGAAGAAACCGATCAAAAGGGAAAAGCCACAAAAAAAACCAACAAAAAAAAGTGAAAATAGTATGCTTCGATCTGTGTTCAGACTCCATAGTTCTTTCTCTGGATGTGGATAGCATTTTCCATCATAAGTCTTTTGGAACTGTCTTGGATCACTATATGTCTGAGAAGAGCTAAGTCAATCATAGCTGACTGTAGCACAATGCTGCTGTTACTGTGTACAATGTTCTCCTGGTTCTGCTCACTTCATTCAGTATCAGTTCATATAGGTCTTTCCAGGTTTTTCTGAAATCTGCCAACTCATCATTTCTTAAAGCACTTAATAGCATTCTATTATATTCATATACCACAACTTGCTCAGCCATTCCCCAACTGATGGGCATCCTCTCAATTTCCAATTCTTTGCCACCACATAAAGAGCTATAGCAACACTTTAGTAATAGTAAAAAACTAGAAACAAAGTAGTGCCACTGACTGGAGGAATGGCAAGACAAATTATGGTATGTGAATATAATGGAAACTTCCTATACTGTAAGCAATAGGATCATAGCTGCAGAGCGCAACAATGCCAAGGGTCATTAGTCCAACCTCTTAATTTTATAGATGAGGAAACCAAGGCTGAGGAGGTTAATTGAAAAGCCCATAGTCACAAAGACAGTAGTTAGCAGAAGAAACAAGATTTAAAACCAGATCCTCAAGACTCCGAATTCATCCCCCTTTCTGCTACACTTGCCTCCATATGACAATTATGAGGACTTCAAAGAAACACAGGAAGACTTATATGATCTAACCCAGAACCAAGGGAATAATATACAAAGATCACAAATTATATAAGTGAGGGGTAGCTAGGTGGCACAGTGGAGAGAGCACCAGCCCTGGATTCAGGAGGACCTAAGTTCAAATCCGGCCACACACTAGCTGTGTGACCCTGGGCAAGTCACTTAATCCTATTGCCTAGCCCCAAACAAACAAACAAACAAACAAACAAACAAACAATGATATAAGTGAAACAGTACTTAAGAATACAGAAATCAGATTCAAGACAATGACCTATCTCGGTTCCAGAGGGCCAATGATGAAATACACTTTTTCCCTCCTCTCACTGGAGGAGAGATGGTGGACTATGGGCATGGGATGTTGCATATGCTATCATATGTGGTCAACGTGTCAGCTAGTTTTAATATTTTTCTGTGTTATAAAGGAGATTCTCTAGAGGTGGTTATTGGCAACTGATGTTGATACAAAAACAAGAACTATCAATAAGATATTAATATATATAAATAAATCTCAGAAAAAAGTCAGTACTAGGATTATGTATGGCTAGTGTTGCATCTGAAGCCATGGGAGTGACGGGATTGTCAAGGGATGGAACGTAGAGAGAGAAGAGAAAAAGAGCTGAGGCCAAAACTTTGGGGAACCTTGGGTGACCAGAAAAAAAAGACAAAGAGGCAGAGAAGGAACAGTCAGAGTATAGGAGGAGAAGCAGGCAATGGTGGCATTTCTACAGTTAAAGGAGACAGGTGACTCCACAAGGAAAGGGTGATTGATAGTGTCAAAGACCTCGGAGGGGGAAACAAGACTTCCTAATCCAATTTGGCAATTAGGATTAGGAAGACCCGGTTAAAAACAATTCAAGTCTACTCTAGCAGTACATTTCTGTGTGAAGAAATCAGCTTCTCTCAAGGCCAAAGCTCTGATTTCCCCCTGTTGAGGAAATAGGTAGGAAGCAGAGAGAGAATAGGCCTCTGGGCCAGTCCACCTTAGACAGACCTGTCTTACCTCTCACTGCAGCAGGGAAGGGGTTTGCAAACTTCTCCACATATTCTGCCTGGGCAGCTTCCACATTCTCTTTTCCTTTGAAGATGATCTCAACAGCACCCTATAACAGGACAGACAGTGATGGCAAAACATACTGACAGATTAAATGCCCACAAGAACTCCAGCAGGCCTTCAGTGAATCTCAACTGGACCTACTGTGCCCTATGAGGTCGAGTTTAAATTTTACTGGCATCATCCCTAGTCTGGAAACCTCTTTTACCTATGGGGGGTTTTTTGGCTTGTTTTTTTAAACAAGAGATTCTCCAGGATCCAAGATGGGTATCCAGGCCTGAGTAATGAATGCTCTTCTGACCACCCATAAGACTGCAGATTGGCTACAGGAAGTCAAGCAGCACCTTGAACTGAAGGTCAATTCTATGTGAAGGACTCACTGTTCTACAAAGTGTGGAGAATTATAGAGCAAAGGCAGTTTGATTCCCTGTCTTTGGGGGAGGGAGAAGGGGAAATATGAAGACAGAGAGAGAGAGAATCCTCCTTTCACATTTCCTCGATCTACCTTTTTCCCCTCAACACACTTTTATCAATAGTTTCTTGGTGCCATGCCTTATGTTTGATTTTTCTCATTAGAGTATAAGGGATGGTCCTTGAGGAGAGGGAAGATGTCTAGTATTTCCTCGCCAACACAAGTTTTCCACATAAAGCTAAGCATCCAGTGAATGTTCAGCAGTCACTTTTTGGATACATAAATATAAGAAGGTTTGAGGCTCTGACCTTGGCCCCCATAACTGCAATCTCAGCTGTCGGCCAAGCATAATTGACATCACCACGTAAGTGTTTGGAGCTCATCACATCATAGGCACCACCATACGCCTAAAACAGAGCATACAGAATATAGTTAGCAAAACTGATCTGTAGTATGTGGATTCATGATAAGCCAGGAAACCAAGAGAGAACTCAGGAAAGTGGAAAGAAAGCTCATACTGGTAATCACAGTTACATTCCTAGTACGTTAAAAATGACAAACTAACACTAATCTTCCTCCATTACATTTTCTCTAGCTTCCCTGGTTTTGCCTGGCATCTTTTCCAGTTTCTTTTGAAAAGTGTGAGTTTCACCATGCTCAAATTGGGGTATGTTTGCAGGATGGATTACCGATTTCATGGTGTTTTCCAGACATCTGAGAGAGTCAGAGTGGTGCAGTGGAAAGTGTAATGGATTTGGAGTCAAAGGACCTGGGTTTGAATCTCAGCTTTGAAACTTAAAACCTATATGACTTTGGGCATGTCATTTTACCTCATCGGGTCTCAGTTTCTTCATCTGTAAAATGAAGAGACTGGATTAGATGGCCTCTGGGTCCCTTCCGGCTCAAAATCTATGACCCTATGACCTTACTCTCTTGATCAGCTCTTGACTTAACTACTAAATTAGCCCTTGCCTGTAGAGAAGCATCGAGGAAATGAAGTGGGGTCTCACATCTTACCTTCCGTGTGATTAAAGTGATTTTGGGCACAGTTGCTTCTGCAAATGCATAAAGCAGTTTTGCCCCATGTCGGATAATTCCCCCGTACTCCTGAGCTGTCCCTAAGAGAAAGTGAAAATTCAAAAACTCTCAATCAACAAAGCATTTGCCAAGAGCTCCAAAATCATGGATTAGAGTAACAAAATAATGGGGGAGGGGCAGGTCCCACACTAGTATCTTCCCCAAACATTCCCCCAAATGGCAGCACTGTACGTTTCACAGCACTAACAACAGTGAGCGCACACAGTTTATTCAGCCAATTTTTCTGGTGGCTGATTTATTCCGGTCCAAAAAATTACAGCAAGATTGAGGATTTAAATTGTCCTTCCTCCCTTCTTTGAGAGCGTGGAAAACTATGAGTGTGGATAACTGCATAAGGTGTCAGACTCAACTGATAATGTTGGTTAGTTTTACTGAACTGTTTTTTATTCTTTGTTGTAACAACTCACATAGTGCAGGGGTTGGGGGAGGATTATATTTGGAAAGAAAAACAAACGATATGAATAAAATTTTTAAAAATTAAAAGTCTAGTGTTTCTTATAAATACATTCCCAAATAAAATGCCTTTACCCAACATAATGCCCATTTCTCCTGCACACTACTAAGAGATAGGCAGGAAGGGGGTGTGGTGTGGAAATGGGCCCAACTGAAATATCTCCCCATTGCTTATGCCTGACCATAGGCTACACCTACCAGGCAAAAAGCCAGGCACATCGACAAAAGTGATCAGTGGTATATTGAAAGCATCACAAAATCGGACAAAACGAGCACCTTTCACAGAAGAATTAATGTCCAAACACCCTAATGAAAGAAATAATAAATGCAATGACGTTAAGCAACTATACAGAACTCTTTACATCTCAGTTTCTTAACAGTTCTCTGTCTTGGACAATAACAAATAAATAGTAACTATGCTTTAGGATGCTACTATCCTTATTTTAATTTTTATTTATGGGAGCTATTATTATCTCCTCCACTCTAGTGCTACTCTGATGCTCCAGTATGGTCCAAATGTTTCCTTGACACGTGAATAAGTACTCTGAGCCCTGGCATGGGCCCACGGACAGAGTGCCTGGCTGTTGGCACTGTCCAGTGAACAACCTAGTTCTGTTTGGAGAGGCTCATCACAACAAGTGTGAAGAGGGTATTTTCAGCCATGACAACTCATGAGAACTTTTTACTGGAGAACTTGCCATCTGTAGTGGTGGAAGGAGCATCTAATACATGAAATCACTGATGCCTGAAATACTAAAATATTTCATAGAGTGTACGAATATTTTTATAAATCAAACAAATGGAAAAATGTATTGGAGACAAAGATTCACAGATCTGATTATAAAAAGCTAAAAGAGTTCTACACAATAAAAAGTGTTACCTCTAAAATAAAAAAGAAATGGATTGGCAAAATAGCTGCAATAAATATGTCAAATCAAGTCTGGATAACCAAAATCTATAAGGAATTGACACCTATCTATAGGCCTATGAGCAATGGTAAAAGGACACGAGTAGACAATTATGAAAGAAGAAAAGGATAATATTCAAACTCATTAATAACAGAAAAATGCAAACCAAGATCACTTTGCATCCACTACAATGGCAAAAATATTTGTAAATAATACATTTTACAGGGATGTAGGGAAAAAGAGTGGGTCGGTTAGGTGGTGCAGTGGATAGAGCACTGGGCCTATAGTTGGGAAGATCAAGTTCAAATCCAGACTCAGACACTTACTAGCTGTGTGGGCAAATCACTTACCCTCATCTGCAAAATGGGCACACACTGAAGAAAGAAATGGCAAACCACTCCAGTATCTTTGCCAAGAAAAACCCATAAATAAGTCATGGGGTCATGAAAAGTATGACATGAATGAACGACTGAACAACAAGGGGAAAAGATACTATACTATACCACAGGTGGGACATTAGACTGGTACAGACATTATGGATAACAATATGGCACTGTCAGTAACCAAACTGATTCTACCTTTTGACCCTGGGATTCCATTGCTAGGACTTCATCCTAAAAATACAACAGAAAGAAAAAAAAAAGACCTATCTGTACAAAAACATTTAGAGCTGCATTATTTGCAAGAGCAAAGAAAGTAAAAATAAATTATATGTCCAACAACTGAAGAATGGCGAATAAATACGACATAATAACGTAAAAGAATATTATTGCATTATAAAAATAATGACCACAGGGGCAGCTAGATGGCGCAGTAGAGAAAGCACCGGCCTTGAAATCAGGAGGACCTGAGTTCAAATACGACCTCAGACCAAACACTGGACACTTACTAGCTGTGTGACCCTGGGCAAGTCACTTAAGCCCAACTGCCTAAAAAATAATAAATGAATGAATGAAAAAATAAAGAAATAATGAATAAATAAACAAATAAATAAATAAGCAAGTAAATAAATAAATACATGAATAGATAGATAGATAGATAGATAAATAAATAAAAGTGGTGACCACAAAGAAAAAAGGTGTTTAAAAATAACTGAATGAAATAATGCAAAGCAAGATCAACATAACCAGAATGGCATATATACTGACAATCTTTTTAAAAACCCAAAACAAACAAAAAACCCAGAGCCAAAGACAGTGAAACTCCAGAGAGGCTTAGAAGTGAAAAGAGTAAACGAAATTTTTGTTTGCCAGTTGGCAGTTAATTCATTTGATTCTACTTTATTACATACTAAGAGTTTTAGGAATGTTTTGAGTCCTCAAATAGTATGTCTACATGATTATTTTTATGATATTTAATTTATAATAATTTTTTAAAATCAACACAGTGAAACATGAAACTTTAAAAACATTTGTCCAAGGTCACAAAGTTAATTTGTGGGAAAATGGGAGAACATGAGAACTCACAGAATCTTAGCATTGCAAACAAAGCACTCACCTTGTTTTCTCAACTGATTGATTACTTTTTAAACAGACTTTATATATTCTCTACAAGCCAGGAAGAAACTTTCTATGTTTCACAGAGAGAAGCTAAGCCAAAAAGAGCAGTATTTTCCAGTTCTACATAATAAATCGATAGATGACATATGGATTTCAACTGAGGTTTTGATTCTACCTACCCCCCCAGAATGTTCACATTGACAAACGAGGCTATTCTTTCTTAGCCATGTTATTAATCGCTTAGATGAAGTCAGAGATGGCATGCTTATTAAACTTTGGGACACAAAGATGGGAAGAAGAGGGAGATGACAAAATCAAGATCCAAACTGAATTTAATAGGGGTGACAATGGGTGTATATACACATACATGCATTAAAAGATAACACACACATGCATTTATGAATGTGTACGTAGATATACCCATAACATGGAAATTTGTATAAACATGTGTGTAACATGTATATACTGTATATACATGTGTGTATAACGGATATGCATGTGTATGTATGTATATAAACATACAGCGCTTTTAAAAACCTGAAACAGCAATAACATAATCATTAGTTTTCTTATCCCCCAAATCACTTAACACATGTACCACACGAAGCAGGTATTCACCTGTTTGCTGATCATGATGTGAGAAAAAAAAAATCCCACATGGTAACTGCAATTTAAAATGTAGTAGAACCTATGCCACGTCGCTCTTTCTCCTTCTCACCTCACCTCCAGACCCGATGAAAAGAAAAAGAGGAGCAATTAGGAGATGACTGTGATTTCAAAATCAAACCAATATTTTAAAGGTTCTAGTTTTACCAAATACACAGAAGTATGCCAGTATGTCCACTTCAAGTGAACCACACTTAGGGCATGCATGAGCCTACAGTCCAGGCTACCTGACTATGACCAAGGTATCATCACCACCACCTGGGGTTAGGTTGTCATCCTGTTTTCCAGTATAGAATAACAAAGGAAATCAAGATTCTTGAGTGCAGAGTCTGCACATAGAGCATACTAACGAACAATAGTCATGGTAACACATGAAGCCAGATATTTAGGCTAAACCTAAAAAGACTCAGATTTCCAAAGAAGGGAAAAGTCTTAATTGGGAAATCACAAGAACATAAAACTGAAGGGACCCTTCGGGTCATCTACTCCAACCCTTTCATGTGACAGATGAAGAGCAAAGGTCCAGAGATCCTCACTGACTTGTCCAAAGTCACACACCCCACACATATGGCAATGTCAGGATTCAGACCCTGTTCTCTCTCAACTCCCGTAGAGTCAGGCTGCTGAAAAGAAGGCACTGTGAGCAAATGATGCCACACTGGAGAAAGAACTGAAGAGGGGAGGTTAGCAAGGCCTAAGCACACATGTAAACAGATTAAAACAAAATCTAAAGAGGGCTGTAGATGGTGAAGAGGCTTATGTCCTATTTTGTATGTCTTTGTAGCAGTTTTAAAATCTAGGAGAGGCACAGAAGGTCTGCACCAGGTTTCCCATAAAGAGATCAAGAAATGAGGGGCAGCTAAGTGGTGCAGTGGATAGAGCACCGGCCCTAGATTTCAGGAGGACCCAAGTTCAAATGCGGCCTCAGACACATAACACTTACTAGCTGTGTGACCCTGGGCTAGTCGCTTAACCCCATTGCCTAAAAAACAAAACAAAACAAAAACAAACAAACAAAAAAGAAATGAAGGCATTAAGTAGCCTGAATCACAGTCCTAGAACTGGAAAATATGATGAAGTTTCTTAAAATGGGAAATGCTCATGGATCTAATGGTCTCATGGCCAAAAGTATGAAATGGCTTGATACTCGCCTGAACAAAGCTCTTGGCAACAGTTTTTAATCACATAGTGTACAGGCAAAAGAAGCACTTTGAAAAAGGTGGGGGAAGACAGCAGAAGAGCTGGCCATGACTATTCACACAAATCCTATGAGACTTCTGCAGGACTTCTGTGCCAAAGGTGGGGAGCACATGACCTGGGATGCAAACAAGTATGAAAGGCACGAAGCAGACGGAAAACAGCCAATGCGGTGACATTGAGAGGACCTGATGAACGTGCCGGAAGAGAGAATGGGGGAGGCTGTGGGGTTAGTTGAGCTCAACAAAAAGTTTCTGACCTAATAGCTCAATGATGTCTTTTCAGAACTGTCCAGGAGGACTATCCAATATCAGCTAAGTCATCCCTCTCTATGGATATGGCCAACAGACCCATGCTAAATGGATAAGGAGGAGTTTTTTCAAATAACGATGGGAATGAGAAAAGATTGTCCACATGGTCTTTGGCTCTGTGAAACGGTTGTATGGACATGCCCATGAAGAAATAAACATTTTAAAATGCATAATAAGCATGACAAAGGTGGAGCAATGCGAGGTCAAGCCAAAGCATATGCAGATTATCTGAGTAATAAGCATATGATGAGAGCACTATTTCATAGCTACATCATTCATTATAGGCTGGAGCCATGTCTAGGATTTTGCAGGCTTCTCAGGTCCTACCTGAAAAGCAACCAGTAAGAGGAACCTCCTACCTGATGCCACTTTGGGCTGGTTGCCTACAATCCCAACAGTCTTTCCATTCATCCTTGCAAAGCCAATAATGATGTTCTTGGCATAATTGGGCATAATCTCAAAAAATTCTCTTTCATCAACAATCTGCAAAAAGGAATGTGAACAGTCAGAAAGGAAAGACAAATACACAAGCAACAAAAGTAGACTTTGCCACACATTCATAGTGGTCGCTGTTTGTTGTTTAGTCATTCAGTCATGTCCAACTCTTTGTGGCCAGCTGGACCATACTGTTCATGGGGTTTTCTTGGCAAAGATACTGGAGTGGTTTGCCATTTCTTCTCCAGTGGCTTAAAGCAAATAGGGTTAAATGACTTGCCCAGGGTCACACAACCAGTAAGTGTCTCAGCACAGATTTGAAATCAGGTCTTCCTGACTCTAGGCCCAGTACTCTATCCACTGAGCCACCTACCTGCCTCCAACATTTAGAGTTGCCATCTGGTAAGTACCTTGAGTCTCAATGAAATGTGTCTTCTATGATCCTCTGACATATTTTCATATACCCTGACTGATCCATAGTAGGCTGTGTATACTAGAAAGTGAAGAAGGTAGGGCAAGGACCTCAATCACATTTCCAGACCCTCATCACTTCTTTCTTTGTTCTCTACCACTGGATCCATACCCAAATTCCTAGAGGCTATCATCTAGAACAGTCATAGCATCTCAGAGATGACAGCACTTAAAAAAAATAAATGGTTCAATCCACAACTGAGTAGGAATTATGAGACCTACAACACCCTTGTCAAGTGGTCAGCCAGTCTCTATGTGATGACTTCCTATGATGGGGATCACCCAAAGCAGCCCATTACACTTTTGAATAGCTCTATTTGTTAGAAAATTTTCCGCATCATTTCTACCAAACGATCCTAAAATGAAATCTCAATACTTCTTCCATGTAATTGATGGCCCTGTAGATGCTTAAAAGACAGCTCTCATATTCTTCCTAAATTTTTCCTAGCTAAACATTCCCAGTTCAGTAAGATGTAAGCTTCTTCAAAATACACAACATACGTTTTTTGTTTTGTCTTTGTGCTCCCAGCACAGTACCTTGCATATAATAAGTACTTATCTAATAAATATTTACTGAATGAGTTCTCGCACCTGGATCTTCATATGATGGTATAGTTATGAGTCCCTTCATCATTTTGTGTTTTTTTGTTGTTTTTTGTTGTTTTGGTTTTTTTTTAGGCAATTGGGGTTAAGTGACTTGCCCAGGGTCACACAGCTAGTAAGTGTGTTTGGTCTGAGGCTGGATTTGAACTCAGGTCCTCCTGACTCCAGGGTCGGTGTTCTATCCACTGTGCCACCTAGCTGCCCGCTCATTTTGTGTTTTTTGAGAATTGCCTATTCCTATCTCTGATGATTTATCTGTTGGGAAATAACTCTTGTTCTCATCTATTGGAATCAGCCCATTATATATCCTGGGCAAAAGACATTTGTCATAGCAACTTTCTATGAAGACTGTTTCCCAATTAACTGTATCTCCCTTCAACTGGTTTTGTTTATGCAGAAACTTTAATTTTATTAAACAAAACTGCACTTCTTACCTTCTGTGATCATCTCTGTGCCTTGTTTGGTCATAAACTCTTCTATCCATAGTTGTGAAGAGTTTTTCCTCCCTCGATTCTCTAATCTGTGTATGATAAGTTTAAGCCATGTATGCACTGGGAGCTTATGCTGGTTTGTGGACCCAAGTTATTTATCTTAACCTAATCTCTTCCAGTTTTCCTGGCAGTTTTTGTCAAATAAAGTTCTTAATTCAAGTAGATGTGGTCTTTGGGTTGATCAACCATTAGACTACAGGGTTGGTTTGGTTCTGCATATTGCACGCTTAATCTGCTCCACTGATTTTTTTTTATCTTTTTTTTCCCCACACTAATGCTTAAGTTTTGATGGGTTATTGCCTTGACATATCATTTGAGATCTGGTACTGCTGGGCCCTCCTCTTTCCAAATTTCATTTGTTGTTTCCTTTGATATTCTTGAACTTTTGTTCAAGATGAATTTCATGATTACTTTGTCCAATTCTCTAAAGTAACTTTTTCATAGTTTGGCATACACTGTATAAGTACATTAATTTAAACAGTATTAGCAGTTTAATTATGCCTACTCATTAGCAATGAATATTTCTTCTATCATTTAGATCTGTCTTTATTTCTGTAAAATGTTTTGTGACTGTGTTTATATAGTTCCTTTTTACATCTGTAGAAAGACTCCCAAATATTATATACATTATATGGTGATTTTGAATTGAATTTTACTTTATAACTTTGCTTAATTTATTGTTTCAATTAATGTTTAATTGTCTCTTTTGATTTCTCTAGATAGATCACATCATCTGAAGAAAAGCAATGGTTTTGCTTCCTCTTTGCTTATTCTTATTCCCTCAATTTCTTTTTTTCATCTTAGTGCTAAAGTCAGCATTTCTGTTGTTGTTCAGTCGTTTCACTAGTGTCTGACCCTTTAAGACCCCATTTGGGGATTTCTTGGCAAAGATATTGCAGTGGTTTGCCATTTCCTTCTCCAGTTTATTTTACAGATCAGTAAACTAAGGCAAACAGGGTTAAGTGACCTGCCCACGGTCATACAGCTAGTCATTGTCTGAGGCCACATCTGAACTCAGATCTTCCTGACTGTAGGTCCAGTGCTGTATCCACTGTGCCACCTACCTGCCAACAGAGATTAAGTGATTTGCCCAAAGTTTAGCATTTCTAGAAGCATATCAAATATTAATGGTGATAATGGATATCCTTGCTTTTGCTGTTGTTTAGTCATTCAGTCGTATCTGACTGTTCATGACCGCAGAGACCATACATGCCAACACTGACTATGAGGCTTTCTAGGCAAAGATACTGGAATGGTTTGCCATATCCTTCTTCTCTAGTGGACTAAGGCAAATGGAGGTTCAGTGATTTGCCCAGGGTCACAGCTAGTATCTGAAGCTGTATTTGAACTTAGGTCTTCCTGACTCTAGGCCCAGGGCTCTACCCACTGAGCCATTTAGTGGCTTCATCCTTGATTTTATTAGAAAGGCCTCTAGTCTTTCTCTATTCCATAAAATGCTGACTATTGGTATTAGCTAGATATGCTTTACCATATTAAGGAATGGTTCATTTATTCTCATATTTTTTACTGTTTTCAACAGGATGAATGTTGAATTTTGCCTAAAGCTTTTTCAGGATCTATTGATTTAATTACATTTTAAAAAATTATTGCTATTAATATGGTCTATTATGTTTATAGCTTTCCTTATGTTGAACCAACCCTGCATTCCTGGAATAAATCCAATCCGATTACAGTGTTTAATATTTTAATATATTGTTATAGCATCTTTGCTAATATTTTATTTAATATTATTTCAATATTCATTAGAGATCCTGTTAGAACAGGATTTTACCTGTTTACCATTTTCTTTCTCTTCTTTGTCTCTCCAGCATGGAGACAACATTTATATCAGAGGAGTTTGGTGGAATCTTTTCCTGTTTTTGTACAGTTAAAATCATATTGGAATTAACTGTTTGAATGTTTGATAGAGTTCACTTACAAACCCATATGACTTCTTCAAAAGAATTTTTTCTTGATATTAGGTTGTTTAAATAATCTACTTCTTCTGTTAACCTGAGTATTATTCATTTTTGTAAACATTCATTTCATCTACATTACCAGTTTTGTTGGCATATAATCAAGCAAAAGTTTGCTGTGAATTCTATTTCTCATTGTTGCCATTTTTTTTTTGGCGAGGCAATGGGGTTTAGCTTTCTGTTAGATTTGCCTAGGTCTGAAGGGGCTACATTGAGATTTTCCATTATTACCATTTTCCTGTCTGTTTCTCTTTACAATTCAATGCATTTTTCCTTTAAATATTTTTATGTTTTGCATTTAGTGCTGATATTAAAAGTATTAGTATTAGTTCATTATCTATGGTGCCTTGAGGTATAGTTTCCTTGTTAAATCTCATACTGTCTATTTTTACTATCTTCCTGCTTAACTTTAAGATTTTTCATTTTAGGGTTTTTTCCAAGTAATAACTGGTGAAGACTTTCCTTTGCCCTACGGTTTTAACAGATCTGGACAATCTTTGTTTATGATTTAATGTGGAATCTAGATTTTTATTCCATCATGCTTTTAGGAAGTTTGATGATTCTTAGATTTCCTCTCCTTAACCAAGTTTTCTAAGTGAGATGTTTTTGCTAGTATATACCTTAAGTATTTTTCTGAGTCCCCACTCCAATCTTTTGATCTTGTTTTAATGTTTATGTTTTCACAGAGTCAATGCTTTCTGTTTCATCTTTTCTAATTTACAAGATTCAAAATCTTGGGTATGCTTTCCCATGTTCTAGTCTAAGATATTTATTATACTTCTTATTCTTTTTTCCATAGCTCTCATTTCATTTAATATTACACTTCATATTGCATGCTTCTTTTATTCCAGGTATTCTTATAATGCTTGGGACCAAGTCATTCTTTTCTTTGAGGATCTACTTGGACTAGTCCTAGTAGCTAGTAACTAGATGAAATAATCTCTTAAATCCTTGCTGGCTGGCACTCCAAAACAGCCCATTCCAAACCTTAAAGCTATCAAGTCCAATTCTTGGCTAGACCCCCCACCAGAGGCAGACAGGTTCAACAAAATCAGAGGAAGTACTTACTGCATGTACTATATCCACCATGTCATAGGCTTTAGTAGACTCCAATGGGACAAGCGTGTCCAGCTCAGGAGCCAGGCGGTCACTGAAAGTAATCAAGAAGAGAAGAGGACAAGATTAGTAATTAATCAACAGCACCCATCATGTGCCAGGCCCTGAAGACAAAATGACAAAAAGGAATTACCCAGAAAGCCAGCTGTATGAGGACTTCATTATTCACAAGGCAAAAAAAAAATGACCATCAAAAATAGGTTTGGATAGTTAGAATCATAAAATGAATCATATAGTTAGCACTTACTGAGTACAAATGATCAGTGCTCATTTCAATAACAATCACTATTATTCCACTGAACAAAAGTGACTGCATATTACTAATAATAGAAAACCTCAGCAAAGGATCAACAGATACAATCTCAGAAGCAGGGAATGAGCTCATTTAATGAATATAATTACTTCAGAAATCTAAATCAAAAGAACAAGTGCTTTGGAAATAAAAGTGCATGCCTCCAAGGCTCAGACAAAACCTCTAGGGTAGGAAGTCTGACCGCTGAAAATCACAAAAGAAAGTGATAGGAGAAGCAGAGAGAAGTGAGTGAGACAATGTAAACAGTGTGAGAGCTCTCACACCACTGAATGTAACAGTTTTGTAGACTGTTACAAACTCAAGGTTGGTTATGCTAGCCTGAATAGCCCCAAGTTTCAAGTTCCTAGAAAACACATGATCTGTACTGTTACATTAATATTAGGTAATGGCTAATGCTAAATAAGGATAAAATAGCTAGGACTGGTAGTATTATAATGAGATTCCTTGTCTCTGGGGTAGATTTTCACGTTTTAGATTGTAAGGCTGAAATTCCTGTCCAATGGGAATTTACAGCCAGTGGTGGGTGTCTCTGTGTTAGGACTATATAACCTTTGTTCTGACTTTTGTGCCTCCCCTCGCTTTGCTCAGACTGCCGGACAAAGCAGATGCCTGCTTCTCGCGAGAACGTAGTAAATCTTTCACTTTATACCTAGAAAATCTCTGAGTGTTATTTTTAGGAAACTGTAGCACACAAAAGGAAAAGCCAAACATTTCACTGAGCAATATTTGGCCTGGAGTGTGGCTTTATTGATATGGGGCACTCCCAGATGAAGAAATTCCCCCTACGAGTAATGGAAACATGTATGGATGGTATTTGAAATCCTGTTCCTGCCCTTGCAGACATATCTGGAGACAGAGTAATAATGAGAAGACTAGATCAAGGAAGCTGCATTGTTTAACATAACCTTCTCTCCAGGAAACAAGCTATCCTTGACCCAGATTAGTTCCATGACAAATACATGATTACTTTGAACAACGATGACCCAGTACCTTTCTACCAGTCCTTTTCCAAAATACTCATCCCATGTTTCGACATCCAAAAAGGGTCTATCTTTTTTAAACATAAATCTATTTATTTTTAGTTTTCAACATTCACTTCCATAAGATTTTGAGTTCCAAATTTTCTCCCCATCTCTCCCCTCCCTCTACCCCAAAGTAACATGTAAATTGATATAGGCTCAACTACATACATTCATATTAAACCTATTTTCACATTAGTCATGTTGTAAAGAAGAACCAGAACCAATGAGAGAAACCATGAGAAAGAAGAAACCCCCCCAAAAAATGAGAGAAAGCAAACAATATACTTCGATTTGCATTCAGACTCCATAGTTCTTTTTCTAGCTGTGGACAGCATTTTCCATCATGAGTCATTTGGAGTTGTCTTAGATCCTTGCATTGGTAAGAAGAAAGAAGTCTATCAAAATTAGTCATTGCATAATGTGGCTGTTACCGTGTACAGTGTTCTCCTGGTTCTGCTCACTTCACTCAGCATCAGTTCATATAAGTTTTTCCAGATTTTTTGGAAGTTAGCCTGCTCATCATTTCTTATAGCACAATAATATTCCATTACATTCATATACCACAACTTTTTCAGCCATTCCCCAACTGATGGGCATCTCCTCAAATTTCCAATTCTTTGCCACCACAAAAAGAGCTGCTATAAATATTTTTGTACATGTGGGTCCTTTTCCTATTCATATGATCTCTTTGAGATGCAGACCTAGTAGTGGTATTGCTAGAACAAAGGGTATACACAGTTTGGTTGCCGTTTGAGGATGGTTCCAAATTGCTCTCCAGAATAGCTGGATCAGTTCACAACATCACCAACAATGCATCAGTGTCCCAATTTTCCCCTATCCTCTCCAACATTTATAATTTTGCTGTTTTGTCATGTTAGCCAATCTGATAGGTGTGATGTGGTACTTCAGAATTGTTTTGATTTGCATTTGTCCAATTAATAGTGATTTAGAGAGGGGCAGCTAGGTGGCACAGTGGATAGAACTCTGGCCTTGGAGGCAGAAGGACCTGAATTCAAATCTGGCCTCAGACACTTACTAGCTATGTGAACCTGGGCAAGTCACTTAACCCCGACTGCCTCACTAAAAAGCAATCAATCAATCAATCAATAAACATAAATAAATAAAAAATAAAAAGTGATTTAGAGCATTTTTTCATATGACTATAGATGGCTTTAATTTCTTCCTCTGAAAACTTCCTGTTCATATCCTTTGACAATTTATCAGTTGGGAAATGACATGTGTTCTTATAAATTTGACTCAGTTCTCTATATGTTTTAGAAATGAGGCCTTTATCAGAGATACTGGTTATAAAAATTCTTTCCCAGTTTTCTGCTTACTTCCTAATCTTGGTTGCATTGGCTTTGTGCAAAAACTTTTCAATTTAATGTAATCAAAATTATCCATCAAAAATGGTTTTTCTTTAAGACATGCTTCAGGCTCTAGGCACTTAAGGTCAGAGAAGTCAAATGGGGACAAAGCCAGTGATGTCAGTTTGGTGCAAAAGGGGCACAAAACACAGAAGGGAGAGTTTTGAGATCGCTTAGCAAAGAAAGGTCACCTCAGATCTCACTGTGATTCTCTTCTTCATCTCTCACATCACAAATCATCAGCCACAATTAAACCATTTCCTCTTAGACACTCTGGAACATGTAGTAACAGCAAGAGACAAAACTTATCCAGAACAAAAGCCCTTACCACAAACAATACATACATTAATGTGCATACCATTCTACAAAAAATTTGCAGATTGTTTGGGTAAATGTCAAAATATGGAGAAAACTTATAATCTTATCATCCCTGCCCACATCGTGTCTTCCAGAAACTAATTTTTTTGGTCTCTCATCCTGTCCCCACATTATTCATTCAACAAGATTGATTAAACTCCTACTATATGGAAGGAACTGTACCAGCTGCTGGTCTAGGATACATTTAAGTTTACTAGTTTACATATACACATATATAGTGCTTGACAGTTTACCAAGTACTTTACATATGGTATCTGTCTCATTTGATCATTATGCTAAAGATGTAAAGCAGGCAGTATAGGCATTAATATTTCCATTTTACAGATAAATAAACTGAGGCTCAGAGTAATTAAACAATTTGATCAAGGCCACAGAGCTAGTATTAGGGGGCAAAGCCCAAACACTTTCTAACTTTAAATTTTGTGTTTCTTCCATGTTGCGTCTCATGTTTCAAAGGGGTCAAAATAAAACTGGCTTTCTCTGCTGCTGTCCCTAGGCATACAACTATCTGAAAGGTCTAAGTCATCTGTCTTAACAGTATACAAAAACTTGAGTGTACTCTACTTTTCAAATCTGACCAACAAGTAAAGTGATCAAAGGGTACTAGGTCAGACCCAGCAATAGCACTTTTAAGGCTGTATCCCAAAGAGATCATAAAAATGAGAAAAGGACCCACATGTACAAAAATATTCATAGCAGCTCTTTTCATGGTGGCAAAGAATGGAAATTGAGAGGATGCCCATCAACTAGGGAATGGCTGAGCAAGATGTGGTATACGAATATAATGGAATACCATTATGCTATAAGAAATGATGAACAGGCAGACTTCAGAAAAACCTGGAAAGACTTGTATGGTCTGATGCTGAGTGAAGTGAGCAGAACCAGGAGACACAGTACACAGTAACAGCCACACTGTGTGATGACTAATGTTGACAGACTTAGCCCTTCTCAGCAATGCAAGGATCTAAGACATCTCCAAAAGTCTTAAGATGGAAAATGCTATCCACACCCAAAGAAAGAACTATGGAGTTTGAATGCAGATGGAAGCATACTCTTTACTCTTTTTTTCTTCTTCGGTTTTGTTTTGTTTCCTCTTTCTTGTGGTTCTTCCTATTGGTTCTAATTCTTCCTTACAACATGACTAATGTGAAAATTAAAAAAACAAATTTAAAAAACAGCACTAAGTTATCCCAAAGTTGGTCTCTAAAGCCATAATTCCACAACACATTAAGAAGTGCTGTATTTTCTGTCATTTACCGCTGATCATGACATTCACGTATTGGAGCTGGATCCTGGTTATTCAAAGGTAAGTAGTTGAAGAATTCCCGGAGGTTAAATAGGGCATCTATGTCATTTTCAAAGGCTCTGTGTGCCACACCTACAAACAAAAAGGCAAAAGGAGATTAGGCTTCAGACAGATCATCCAATTGGTCCAAAACTGTTTAAGTATCATCCCTGCTGTTTGTAGATGTGCTTGGAAAGAAAGTCATTTATTCAATTACGTTCATCTACCAGTTGTGGCATGATGCCCAAGAAAGAATGTTGGATTTTAAATCAGAAGTGATGGGTTTGCAGCTTATCTCAGCTACTTACCTTTGTGACCTTGGGCAAATCACCTCTGCTCCTGGGCTTTAGCTTCGTCATCTGTGTAATAGAGGTGGCGGACTAACCACATGAACTCTAAGGTTCCTTAAATTTATACAAGAAAATTGCTAAGAAAGAATAGTTTCTTCCCTAGACATTTTTTTCAAAGCATTATGGTAGTTCAATGGCTCCAGAAAAGGGAGAGTATCTTTCATAGCATAATAGTATCAATCAGATCTCTCTCCTCCTGTTCAATTCTAGGCCCAATAATGCAAAAGTAACTGGGCATATATATACATATATATACATGCAAACATACACACACACACACACACACACACACACACACACACAGAGTACAGTGGAAAACATTAGCCCTAGAGTCAGAAGATCTGAGTTCAAATATCACTTGTTATGCTTACCACCTTGGCCTTGGACAAGTGACTAAATGCCGCTGAGCCTGACTTGCCCTGTCAAATGAAAGGGTTAGAAGAGAATGTGGAATGCTCTACATCTATATGAAATCTGATATATACGCATATGTTATACATATACATGAAACTGATCAGCTTGTCCAAACATTAATCATCCACTTATTTTTTCTTAAGTGAATAGTTTAACTGAATTCTTGAGTGATTCCAAATCTCCTCCTGGAGGAGCTACAAGGTTCTAGCACCTCATGCAACCAGTATGATGTTCCAACCCGCGAAATCCTCAGATATCACTATTCATAATTTACATTCAAATCCAACAAGTATAGGAATAATGGGCATTTGTTTGTGGGAGCTGGAAGGTGGGGAAAGAGAGAAACAGTTATTACCAAACACACACTACTTAGCTACAGGCCTAGTTTGGATCTAAGGATGTACATTTTAGCTTAAGATTTTAAGAAGTGGTTATTACACACTTACTATGTGCAAGGCACTCTGCTGGGTGCTGCAGACATAAAAACACAATGCAAACTAATTCTACCCTAAGGAGTTTCAAGTGTATCGGAGAATTATAGCAGGTAAAGAGAAGTAAAAGGAAATTAATTTTCAATAGGAGAGGAATCCTGAAAGACTAGCTTTAGTAGTACTGGAGCTGAGCCTTGAAGAAAAAGAGAAATTCAGGGGCAGTTAGATGGCACAGTGGATAGAGCTCCAGTCTTGGAGTCAGGAGGACCTGAGTTCAAATCTGGCTCAGACACCTTGAAACTTACTGGCTGTGTGACCCTGGGCAAGTCACTTAACCCCAACTGCCTCACCAAAAAGCAAAAAAAAAAAAAAGAGAATTCAGTAAGACTTAAATCAACACAGAGTGTATTCCAGGTCCTGGGGACAGCTTGTGCAAAGCCCCAGAGGGCAGAGATGTAGTTGTTAGTTCGGGAAACATCCAATAGGTTAGTGTAGCTGTACCTTGGAGCAGGTGAAGGGTGGTCATGTGCGGGAGAAAAAAGGCTAGAAAAAGAGGCTGGAACCAGATTGTAGGAAGCTTTAGCTGAGGAGTCTATATCTTATCCTATAGCAGGGAGTCACCAAAGATTCTTAAGCAGAAGAGTGACATGGCCAGACTGTCCTTCATGAAGATTATTTTGAAAACTGTGGGGTAGGTGGGTTGTAGAAGGAAGAAACTAGAAACAGGAAGAACAAAGTTGACTGTATCTATTTCATGCCCACTTGGTGCTACATTTAAAAAATTGAATTAAAAGAATATCAAGAACTGGTAACATTCTGTAATTTTTTTTAAGGCAATTGGAGTTTAAGAGACTTGCCTAGGGTCACACAGTTAATATCAAGTGTTTGGTCTGAGGCCGCATTAGAACTCAAGTCCTCCTGACTTCAGGGCTGGTGCTCTATCCACTGTGCCACCTAGCTGTCCCACATTCTGTAATTTTTTAAAGGTACAAGTTTATTATCAAGTTGAGGCTGTTCTGATTAACTCGATTAAATTAAATACTTTCAGTGGTGTGGGCATGCCACCCACCAATGAAGATTGCATGCTCCCCACATCTCCTCATCCTGGGCAATTCTTGTCCCTATTTTCCCATAAACACTCGGTAAAGAAGCTACTGCCTAAGCTAAGGGCACTCCTTTGGGTCTTTTAGTATCTTGGTAGTATTTAGGTCCCAGACAATTAATTTGTTATTTTTCCTTCTTGCTATGTAACCACCCCTTCTCCTTTTCTCTCATTCATGCCTTCAATGTCTCTGATTAAATAATACTATTAAGAAAAACCTAGGTGAGACCCAAAAATATTAACTACCTAATTTGCTTAATAATTAATTTGAATCAAGATGTAAGATTCTCATACTGTTATTTTCCACCACAAGGAGAATAGACAGTCTATGGGAAGAACTTAGGATCAAAATCATAAGATTTATAGTTGGAAAGACCCTTAAAGATCATCTAGTCTAGTGAGGAAGCTGGTAGAGCAATGGGGTAGTGCCCTGGGCCTGAAGTCTGGAAGACCTCAGTTCAGATCCAGTCTCAGACACTTACTAGCTGTGTGACCCTGGGTAAGTCACTTAACCCTATTTGCCTCAATTCCTCATCTGTAAAATAGGGGCACACTGGAGAAGGAAACAGCAAACCACTCTCCTATCTCTGCCAAGAAAACCCAATGGGCAAAATCCATGAGGTTACATAGAGCTGGACACGACTAACTATAACAAACAACAACCCTGGGCAGGTCACTGAACCTCTGTTTAGGTCAGTTTTCTCAACTGTAAAATGAGAATAATAACAACACCTACCTCATGGTATTGTGAGGATTAAATGAGATAATATCTGGCATTAGCACAGTGCCTAGCACACAGCAGGTGCTTAATAAATACTTGTTCCCTCCCCCTTCCTTCTCCCACCTCCCTCCCTTCCCCCACCTCCCCATCCTCTATGCCTTTAAGATCCTCATTTCACAGGTGAGGACACTGAAACAGAAAGAGTAAAGTGATTTGCCTGAGTTCACACAGTAACAGAGGGGGATGTGAACCCAGAAATTCTGCTGTTTTCCTTCAGCTCTTTCCACTCGACCACATTTACACCTCTGTGGGCAAGAAGGGTCTGTCAGATGCTTACACTGACCTAAGAGGGTCTGTCTCCAGATAGGTCTACAAGAGCAGAAACAGGCTCTCAAACACCAATGTTTCCACAGCCTGGAAATAGGTGTATCAGGCCTTTCCTAGGGAGCTAGTAAAGATTGAGCTAGTCTGACTACTTACCAGAGATTTCTCCTGGGGATTTTAATATTTTTAAAACTGCAATTCAGACACTGAAGAAAAGTTACTGAAAACAGTCTCTCATTTCCTCTCAAGTGTGAAAGGGCCCTCCTATTTTCATTTGGTGCACACCTTCAGGGAACTCTGGGCAGCTATGGCTTCTTAGTTCTTTTTACAATAAAACCAATAAATGTAACAAAGGAAAAAAAACCCACTAACAACTACCACTGCTGCTCCCTCCTACATACTCTCTCATCATTGTTTCTGGAGTCAAGAAATGTTACCACTGTGGAAGCATGGAAATCTTTTTTAGAAACTCTTTAGAAAATACTTTTTAAAAAGGGTATGCTTAACATCCATTTCAAAAGGTATTCCAAACATTTTTTAAAAGTGAATCATTTAGGGGCAGCTAGGCGGCGCAGTGGATACAGCTCCGGCCTTGGAGTCAGGAGGACGTGAGTTCAAATCAGGCTTCAGACACTTGACACGTACTAGCTGTGTGAGCTTGGGCAAGTCACTTAACCCCGACTGCCTCACAAAAACAAAAAGAAAAACAAAAGTGAATCATTAGCTGACAAGGTTGATGGGATCCTTCTCACCTGACATCGTTGTATGTGTCTTGGCACCGCCAAGCTCTTCTTGGGTGACATCCTCATTGGTGACAGACTTTACCACATCCGGGCCCGTGATGAACAGATAGGATGTATCCTGCAATCACAGATTTCCAGACAAATCAATCAAGAACAACAGAGCTGGAAGAGAGACAGCATTTAGTTCAACCGCCTCATTTTACAGATAAGAAAAAGAGAGCCCCACAAATGTCACTTCATCATGTTATTTCACTCTTGGTTCAATGCTTGTAAAAATGAGCTGTAATGTGGTGCAGATAATAATAAGATAACAGTACAGGGTACATGGAAGCACTCTGAAACACCCAGAGCGCCCCACCAACCAAAGCTATGATTATGCTGCTTACAGCAGCTTATTTTTAAGCTAAGTAAAAAAGTGTAAGAGGCTCTAATTTCTTTTATATCTAAAAAACAACTGAGGAAAAGGTAGGAGAAACTCACAGACCAAAAATTATACACAGCAGAGAGAACAATCCCTTTCTGAAAAATAATTTAAATCCATGTATTGTTATTGAGTATGCATTACCCAGCTACAAGTCCTTGATTCCCAAACTTAGTTTTGTGATACTTTAAGATACCTCTAATCATCTCAATATTCATGATATCCTAAAAAAAAAATATTCACTTAAAAAAAAAATAAGGCTAGTTTTGAAAGAAAAAAAAGTCACGACACAGGCTTAAAAAAGGCCCTCTTTTTTTGGAGAATAATGAGGAGAACAATTTGAATTAAATGAGAGTACCTGAGAAAGCAGGTAAGATAGTGTCTTACTAAGGCTCAGGGCCTTTGGGACATGACCACCACCATCCTCATCAGGATCTCTCTAACCTCTTTGTTGCCTCAAGTCATTCCCTGTATAGCTCCCACCAGCTCAAGCAGGTGAATACCTACTTGACACCATACAAGGAAAGACACTGAGAAATATAAATGTTTATTACCCAAGGTTGAATAAACAGATGCCTGAAATGTGATGCAAAAGACGATTTGTTTTTTTTAAGTGAATAAAAAACTTCATTTGAATCAAAAGAAATGTTTTTAAAAATCTTTCACAGTAAATGTATTTTGGAACTTTAGTATTATTTTTCACTGTAGACATTCTTTTTTGTCCGCCTTTCAAAAGGATGTCAATTTAAGAGTGTAGACTATATCTGGGCCAACAAGGTAACAGACGGACAGCAGATCTAGCAACCAAAGGAAATCAATTTTCTAAGATTTCCCCCACTCTGAAAAAACCCCAGCAATTATATTTTCCAAGTCACTTTTGCATCCCATTGGATTCAAATACAGTGACATTTTACATGGTGACCTCTTTGCATGAGGAGTAAAGATTGACAATATTGGGGTCAGAGACGACCCAAATAAGTGAATACATGACAAAGAAGGCTATGACAGTGCCAGGCACAGAAGGCTTTCTTTGATGCTTGAAGGACTGAAATAACATTTCTACTCTGATGCCAGACTTAGGTCTTCACAAATCTTTTAGATCCTGCCCACCAAGTATACCAGTCTAGAAAGTTCATCAATAAGCAGAGCACTGCTTGCCTCCAATCTTCTCCCTAAAAGGCCAGGAGGCAGGGCAGGGAAATCAAAACAATCTCATTTTAAGTCTAAATGAGGACCTTGTAGAAGGCAATTTCCAGAAATACTAAGAGCTGGATTGAGTAAATCCAATCAGAAAGAAGTTAAAGGATACACACTAGAGGGCATGGAAATATGGAATGTCAGCCTCAGCTTTTGGATATCATGGACTGTAAGAATGAAGTTCACTACCTCTTCTGTACTTCACTTAAGTCTGTTTTTGCAACAACTAAACCTCTCAAACTGTGCTGATAGTAAATTTGTTTCTAATGATTGATCTGTCTTCTCCTTTCATCTAGCTGACTTGGGCTGCAAACAAAAGAAAGAAGAGGAGTTATCAGTGTCCCTATACTAATGTTGAGCAAAGTACCAAGAGAAAGAATCTTAAGCCTTAAAAAAGTAGCTAGAAGCCATATTTTATTTTATTTGGAAACAGCAGAATTGAACAATTTTTCCTGTGTTAGCTCTATCTTAAAAGCAACTCATTTCAATGGCTTAAATAAGGGTTATTGTGTAGAAATTCAAGTCATTCTTCCTGTGTGGACTTGTTTAGGAATCCCATCCCACCCCCATTCTCCAGTGGTAGTTTCTTTTTTCAGTCTAGATAGGTACTGCATGGCTGAGAGTGGCCACGAGCCTCCTTCTTGGAGGAAGACACTCAATGAGACTGCTCTAGTCTTTGAAAAGCCATCAAATCAAAGACACGCTTGGAAGAAGATGGGGGGAACACTTTCCAGACACGATAATTAATAGTAGTCTTCCCTTACAATAACAGGGGCCAGTCTGCACATTTTCAGTAACTTCTTCATTACCCATCACCTCACTCACTATTCAAGTAAACTTGATTTGGTCGCCCAAATTTTCACTTGCTCAAAATCACAACTATTTCATTTCAAACAATTAAAATTCAACAAGATAAGCATGTCTGGTGCATAAATCAGCAAAGCTATCAATTACTTTCAGTAAGAGATGAACAGCTTCTTGGGGGAAGTTATGGTTTGCAATTTTAAACAGAAAGAAATGCATGCTACCACAAACAAATCATAGCAGTAACAGGGTTGCTGAGACAAGGGGAGAAAGGATGCTTTCCCACTATCCCAGTGTTTGTATTAACTGGCCACAAGTTTTATCAAGACTGAAAAGACAGTGGTTAGAGGGAACTTATTTGGAAAAATCTACATTAACTGAACACATGGCAGAGGGGGCTATGAACTAGCAGGGACAGAAGACTCTCTTTCTAGCATCCAGGACATTAAAGGCCACACAGCTCAGAGCAGTTCTGCTCCTAAATCAATAAGCTAAGAGGAATAAGACTGGAGCCTCTTAATATTAACACGTACTTTATTACATTAAAACCAGGCAATGGTCTGACAATAAAAAGGTGCTTATGGCATACTGTTATATTAAACTTTAATTACAGAGGATATGAAATCCTTACAATAAATATTTTCCTCAAAATAATTGTAATGGAAATAATTCTTTTTTCTGACTTGATAGCTGCTACTTTAAAATGTGAATTTACACAAATACAGAACTGAAAAAAAAATCCTCAGGACACAAAAAATTGTTTTTATTTAAGCTTGTATCCACATTGCGGCCCCTACTGGTCCAAAATCGTGAATCAGAAAAGGCAGTGATTTGCCAGGGAGTTCTGCCAGCCAAATTCTGGAAACCACAACACACTCAAGTGTTTCCCCTTTCAAATATTTGTTGAAGAGCTTGAAAGGAAGAAGTACCAAAACCTAAATCTGTACCAAATTCCAATAGAACATAGAAGGTTTTGTTCCTGTCACTGTATTCCAATCTGATATTAAGCTATGGCAAAGAGAAACCAAGTGAGTGCAAGGCTTGTCAAGTCACATTTCTTCAATTTTCAAGGACAAGTCCATTTCTTTCAACTGGAGTGTATGCTTAGGGAATCTTCAGGCAGCCCTTCCTTTTAACTACTAAAGCCTTTGCTAAGCTGGCAGATCTGAGCAATCCTGGGAAATGACTGCACTTGTCATTGTATCAAAAGCTAAGCTAAAAACAGTGACCGCTGGCATAGTGAAGCTAGTGAAGGAGGTGATCCAGGTTTGTAAACAGGTTAGACATTCATTTCTCAGGCTGATGAGGATTAAATGTAATTCTAAAAATGAGAAGCAAGTCAGGGATTTCTTCCAACTCTACCTGGGTTGGCTATTGGCCAGAAGTGAGAAAGTATCACTCAAAGGGGAAGAGAGATTTTTAGGAAGGAGGGAAGAGCAGTACCCCATGAGGAAAGTGGGGGAGGGAAGAGAAGACATTGAGGGGAAGAAGCTAAGTGGCACAGCGGATAGAGCAATAGCCCTGGAGTCAGGAGGATCTGAGTTCAAATCTGGCCTCAGACACATAACACTCACTATCTGTGTGACTCTGGGCAAGTCACTTAACCCCAGTCGCCTCACAAAAAAAAAAAAGAGCAAGAGAGAGAAGACACTGAAAGAACCCTGGATCCCTCATCAAAGGCCCATGTAAGAGGGGATGGATGAATGTGTGGGAGAGGTATACAATCTATGAGTTGGCCAAAGGTTGTGGAGAAGTAAAATGGCTTGCTGGGGCACCATTTAAAATGGAAGGTATTTAATAATGAAAATAAAGACACCAGCATAGTCAACCTTTATTACAGTTTCACAATGGGAGGGGTGATTGGTTAGCACACACCCTCAATAGTAATCCATAGATGGAGTCAGAAATGGACACAAAACAAACCAGTGTTACTACTTTCATAAAATTAATTTTCCATATGTTTTCTCCATATATATAACTGATATCATATTGCATGCCTTCTCAGGGGCTGAAGGTTGGGGCAGGAGGGAGAGAATTTGGAACTCAAATTTTTCAAAAATTGTCAAATTTTTTAAATGTAATTAGGGATACTTAACGAACTAAAAATTATTTTTAAAATAATTTTCCAATAAAATTTCCAAAAAGTTCAATTTTTAAGGTTATTTTGAGATATGCTCTATATTGTTTGATTATTTTTATTTGTTCAGCATTAGTACACATATATTTGAATAAAATCACTTTTTAAAAGATGAAATGGCCCTAATATAACAGAAAGTTATGAAAGAAAATAAAAAATTTCTAACATTAAAAGTTATATAAAAAAATAAAAGTTATATAATCACTTTTCCTGGAGATTTTTAAGGAGTAAGAAGAGTAGGTAATAGGATGAGGTGTAGAAAAAGCATTAAGGCTCTGGTCCTAGTTCTGGAAGTCATTTCATTTCTCTAAGCCTCAATTTCCTTATTTAACATTAAGTAGGGAAGGAGCAGCTAGGTGGCTCAGTGGATAGAGCACTGGCCCTGAAGTCAGGAGGACCTGAGTTCAAATCCGGCCTCAGACCCAGCACTTGACACTTACTAGCTGTGTGACCCTGGGCAAGTCACTTAACCCCAACTGCCAAACAAATAAATAAACAAACAAACAAACAAACAAACATTAAATAGAGGAGTCAGAATGATCTTTAAGGTAGCTTTCAGCTCTAAAATTTTATGACTGATCTATTTGAAGAGATACTAACAGATTAAATTAGTAGTGACAAAGTCAAATAGATACAGCAGCCACTATACTGTATGTAGGGATCCCTATGGTCTTATATTAACTTAAAAAACATGTTCGTATTTTTTTGAGTTAATTTATTTATTTTGTTAGGTATTCCCAACTTTAATCTAGTGTTTGAAATATATTTGCAATTCAATGAACATGAAAAAATGGCCCCCAAATCAAGTGCATTGCACTCTAGCCAATGAAATGCCCCATCTTAATGATCCCATGCCACCACTACCTCGTCAACTCCAAGACTTTATGATGGGCAGCACTCTGAAATCCAATGAATTCAGATAAAATATTAGATCTAGGTCAGGAATTAATGTTTCTACATGTGAGAAACCACACAATTCTGAAAGGGAAACACGGAAATAGATACCAGAGTCTTACCTTCACCATGAATGTGAAATCTGTTAAGGCAGGGGAATAGACAGCACCTCCTGCACATGGGCCCATAATCAAAGAGATTTGTGGGACAACTCCGGACGCCATGACATTCCTCTGCCAAAAGAGAAAAGGCAAAGGCATCTCATTACCTGGGCACGTTCAAGGTTTTATCTGCAAAAAGATAAAGGTAACAATAAAATAACACCTGGATTATTTACACAGAAACTGAATCCAGGTGGCAGTAGAAAAATCCTATAATCTCTTACTAAAGTTGTTTTTTTCTGTCTTCGGGCTGCCTCCAAGTAGCATAGGACGGTGGAAGGATACTGGATTGAGAAGCCAAAAGAAGTTAGTTCAAATTTAGACACCAATCCTTAATAAATATGCGGGCAAAGTACTTCACTTCCTCTAAGCCTCCATTTCCTCATCTGTAAAATGGGGATATGTGTATTCGTACACCTAGCCTCACAAATTTGTTATGGAAAGAGTCCTTTGTAAGAATTTAAGTGTTGTATAAATGCAATTTTTTTATTGTTGTCATAGCCAAGGTGGAAGCTGGCTGGAAAGTATGTGACTTTGCTTCCTTTGACCTTTGCCCCCTCTTTAACCGCCATTAGGATTTTTCTGTGGGCTCCAAACAAAGTCCCCTCTAAAGGAGAGGTTGTGAAGGAAGTCCACATATAAAGTTCAGGGGGTCCGTGAACTTATATGGGAAAAAAACTACATCTTTATTTTTACTAACCTCTAACAGTAACTTAGCACTTCATTCAATTATGAATTTTTTAAAAACAAGCATCATTCTGAGAAGGGGTCTATAACCTTCAGCAGACTGCCACATGGATCTGTGACACATGCAAAAGAAGTTATAACATCTTCTCTAAGTTTCTGACAATATACAATACTCATGTCAATTAAATAAGACAAACAAGAAAACATATGAATAAATGGACCTTTCCTTAATATAAGTGGTATATATCTAAAATCAAAGACTAGCATTATATGTAGAAGGGATAAACAAGAGACTTTCCGATAAAATCAGGGATAAAGCAAGGTTATCTATTACCACCATTACTATTTGATATAATGCTAGAAATGCTAGCTATAGCAACAAGAAAAAGAAATTGAGGGAGTAAGCATAGGGAAAGAAGAAATAAAATTATCACTTTTTGGAGATGATATGATAGTTTACTTAGAGAACCCTAAAGAGCCAACTAAAAAATTAACTTTAGCAAAGTTTCAGGACATAAAATAAATGCATACAAATCATTAGGATTTTTGTATATTACTAACAAAACCCTGCAGGAAGAGATAGAGAAATTCAATTTAAAATAACCACTGGATGTATAAAGTACTTCAGAGTAAGTATATTCACTAAGATACACACAGAAATTACGTAACACAACTATGTAACAATTATATAACACAACTCTTTACATAAACAAAGACAGGTCCAAATAATTGGAAAAATACTAATTGCTCATGGGTAGGCTAAGCCAATATAATAAAAATGATAATACTATCTAAATTAATTTACTTATTGGGTGTCACATCATTCAGACTACCAAGAATTATTTTGTAGCACTAGAAAATAATGACAAAATTCATCTTGAGCAACAAAAGATCAAGAATCTTAAGGAAAACAATGGAAAAAATGAGAAGAAAGGGGGCCTAGTACAAATTTCAAATTGTATCAAAAAGGCCTATATCCTAAAGAGCTTGAAAAAAAAGGAAAAGCATCCATGTGCAAAAACATTTATGGTAACTCCTTCTATGGTAGTAAAGAAGTAGAAACCCATCAATCACAGAATGACTAAATAAATTATTATATATGAATATAATGAATACTATTCTGACAAAAAAATTAAAAGGGCAATTCTGGAAAAATCTGGGAAGACTTTTATGAACTGATGCCAACATTGAGTAAAATCAAGAGAACAATTATTGATTAACAACAACATTGAACAGACAAACAACTCTGAAAGACTTAAGAACTCTGATCAGTGGAATGACTAGCCATGATACCAAAATACTGATGATGACGAAGCATGCTATCCTTCTTCTGACAAAGAGGTGATGGATTTACAGTGCTGACTGAGACATAGCTTTTAAAAAGGGCCAATGTGGGAACTCATTTTGCCTGATTATGCATATTTATTAAAAGTGGTTTTGTTGGATTTCTCCTCCCCAATTTCCCCCGCCAACAGGTTTGGGGCAGGGGGGCAGGAGGAGAGAAGATAATGAAGGGAGAGAAAATAGATTTTTAGTTGAAAAAAATATATTTATTTTTAATTATAAATTATTTTTATTTGAATTTTTGCTTAATGGATTTGTTCTTTTTTTATTAATTTATTTTGATTTATCAATGATCACTTCCACAAGCTTTTGAGTTTTAAATTTTTCTCCCCTTCCTTCCCCACCTCCCTTCACAAGATGGAATGCAATCTGATATAGGCTATACATAACATTCCTATATACATATTTTCACATTAGTCATGTTGTAAGGAATAATTAGAACTATTAGAAGGAACCACAAGAAAGAGGAAACAAAATAAAACAGAAGGAAAAAAAGAGCAAATAGTAAGTTTCAATCTGCATTCAAACTCCATAATTCTTTCTTTGGATGTAAATAGCATTTTCCATCTTGAGACTTTTGGTGATGTCTTAGATCCTTGCATTGCTGAGAAGGGCTACGTCTATCAAAGTTAGGCACTGTACAATGTGGCTGTTACTGTATACAGTGTCTTCCTAGTTCTGCTCACTTCACTCAGCATCAGTCCATACAAGTCTTTCCAGGTTTTTCTGAAGTCCTCAAGCTCGTCATTTCTTATAGCACAATCATATTCCATTACATTCATATACCACAACTTGTTCAGCCATTCCCCAGTTGATGGGCATCCCCTCAATTTCCAATTCTTTGCCACCACAAAAAGAGCTGCTATGAATATTTTTGTACATGTGGGTCCTTTTCCGATTTTTATGATCTCTTTGTGATACAACCCTAGTAGTGCTATTGCTGGGTCAAAGATGGTACGCACATTTTTATAGCCCTTTGGGCACAGTGCCAAATTGCTCTCCAAAATGGTTGGATCAGTTCACAACTCCACCAACAATGCATTAGTTTTGCATTTTTCCCACATCTTCTCCAACAGTTATCATTTTCCTGTTTTGTCATGTTGGCCAGTCTGATAGGTGTGATGTAGTACCTCAGAGTTGTTTTGATTTGCACTTCTCTAATCAATAGTGATTTAGAGCATTTTTTCATATGACTATAGACAGCTTTAATTTCTTCCTCTGAGAACTGCCTGTTCATATCCTTTTACCATTTATCAACTGGGGAATGAAAAAAATTTATTTTTAAAGAAAAAAAAATCCCTGTTCTAACTACTTGCAGCTAATACCGTTAGCTGCATACATTTATCAAGATACAAAGGGCAATTTTCACCAGAATCATAAAGTCCCCCTAAAGAGGACAAGGATAGGAAGATAGAACCTGAAGTGATAACAATCCTAGACAGGAGCAATAAGACTGAGAAAAAAGAGCACTTCAAAAGCATGAGCAAATTTAATGGCTGAGAAGAGATGTGGCTGTACATATTTGTGTACATGGAACAGAAAACGCATGAATTCTTGTCTTTTTAATCAGCTTTTTTTGCATCACCTGGTAATGTTCTGTAGACTTTGAGGACAGGGAGGATTCACTATAAATCCTGGATACTATTCACACAAAGTCTTACTCAATTTCTTTTGTATATCTTACAATAACAGTATCAATACATAAAAGGGGACAAGGCAGCAGGTAATGGGGGGATATCAAGGCTTTGGGCATCAGTGGCTGGGAGTAGGTCACCTGACCTTCATAAAAAAGTGACAAATTCCTATATGATACTCACCACTGTGGGAATCTCTAGAAGGTAAAATGAATTTGCCAACTATGGACTCTGTCCCTTTCCCACAGAGTAGGGAAAAAAGTCTCCTTCCTTGTTCCCATCTGCCTCCACCTCTTATTCAGCAGCCCAAACTCCACAAACCCATGCAGACAACACAGAAACATGACAAGTGACATGTCAACTACAGAAGAAGAAAACAGTGGTGACTGACAGTGGAAGGGAAAAAGAATACCACCTTAGGGCCCACATTCAAGTTACTCTTTGGCTTTCTCATTTTAAGTTTTCTAGCCTCATTCCTCTTTCAAAACAAAAACAGTTATGCTATCAGGAATTTATACTTTGACAAACATTCATTTTAGTGCAAAGGTTGAGTCCACAGATTTGTTTTGTTTGTTTTTTTTAATATTCTGAAAACTGGCTATCAATATAATTGGTTTCCTTTGCAATCTCATGTATTTTGTTTTATATACTTAAAAATTTTTTTTTGGCAAATAGTTTTTTTTTCCCAATCACATGTAAAGATAGTTTTCAACATTCATTTTTTATAAGATTTTGAGTTTCAAATTTTTTCTCTCTCCCTCTGGCCTATCCCCATTCCCCAAGATGGCAAACAATCTGATACAAGTTATACATGTGCAATCATGTAAACATATTTCCACATTAGTCATGCTATAAAAGAAGAAACAGAACAAAGGGGGAAAGCCATAAAAAACAAAAAAATAACCCACAAAAAAGTGAAAATATTATGCTTCAATCTGCATTTAGACTCCATAGTTCTTTCTCTGGGTGTAGATAGCATTTTCCATCATGAGTCTTTTGGAATTGTCTTGATCACTGTATCATTGAGAAGAATAAGTCAATCACAGTTGATCATCGAATAATGTTGCTGTTACTGTGTACAATGTTCTCCTGGTTCTGCTCACTTCACACAGCATCAGACCATACAAGTCTTTCAAGGTTTTTCTGAAATCTGCATGCTCGTCATTTCTTATTAGCACAATAGTATTCCATTACATTCACATATCACAACTTGTTCAGCCATTCCCCAATTGATGGGCATCCTCTCAATTTCCAATTCAGTCTGTCTTAAGGTTTCTTTCCCAAAAACCACCCCATCTTCCCTGGTGGAAGAGTATTGGCTATGACTAATGGAGACCTTTTCCAGAAAGCTGGGAACACAATAGCTTGATTTTGCAGTTTAGTCTCTGGGTACTGGTCTGAGAAGTCTACCTAATCCTCCCTACCTAAATGCCTACCTTTCTTATCCCTTCCCTTCACCCATACACTCCTTTCTCTCCTATGTTGCTACATACTAGAGATTTCAATTCCTCTCCAGAACCATCACCACTGGCCTGGGTCTTCCCCATCCCACTCTGGGCGGGTCACCTAGAGTTATGCAGCCTAGGTACTCAGAAGAGAGTATACCTGGGGATGGGGGAGACAGAAACATATAGAAGTCCCATTCTGGGATCCTCAGATGAAAGTGAGAAAAAGAACGATATGGTGCAACAGTGGAATAATAGGAAGCATAACCCTGGGAGCCTCAGGTCAAGGCTACTCAGAAGAGATGAGTTATGCAGGCAACAACAGCAGTTAGGATGTTAGATTCAGAATCTTTGTTTCTAGTTTCTTTATTTTTATTTCTTTTTAAGTTCCTTTTAAAATTAATATTTTTAAACAAAGAAGATCCATACATATGACTACTTTGAGCCAATTATTTATTTCTGCAATACAGAATCTTTGTTTTATAACATATGCATCTGCATGGAGAATAGGAATCAAGCTGTCCACAACATAAGAGAAAAATGAACTGTACTGCTCCTAATTACAAGGCTTTAACAAATGATGCGAAAAGGGGAAAAAAATGGAAAAAAAGGTGTGGCTGTGGAAATTACATGAAATTATAGTCACTGCCATCTACAAACAAAATTACCACACCACCCAATGTTTACGTATATCACTAAATAAGTGTCAAAATTTGCTCTGAATTTTGATTACATTAAATACTGTTCACATAAACAGCATTCAGAGTTGCTCATGGTTACCTGCCTATGATTTAAAAAAATTAGAAAAAATGGCCATAGACAGATTTGTAAAACCCAGTTATATGCACATTCAAAAGACAACATGGAGTTCTATGAAGTCTTTAAAACAATTATCCTAATAATTAGAATACAAGCTTGCTGAGGGGAGGGACCATTGCATTTCTGTCTATGATCCCCAGTGCCTTGAACACAGTAGGCATTTAATAAACATCTGCTGAATTTTGACTGAACAATTTTAAAAACTGTGATAAAGAAGCTTGTTATTTCCAAGATTCTTTCATAATGCAGGTCACAGAATTTTATAGTGATATATTAGAATACATGACCTCTAAGCTAAACGTCCAACTCTAAACTTTTACAATCATGCTATCGTTGCCCCTGACCTATATAAATTCTTAGCCAATTTTCAAATTTAAATATAATTAGTGTCCCTTTTCTCTATTGAGACAGGAATGGAAAACAGCAAAGAAAGGTTAAGGACAATGTGTCAAACCAATGAGCTAAATCTGGCTCTCCACTTAATTTTTTTTGGTCCCCAGACTAATTTTGTTCTAGTCACTGTCAATAAATCCCAAAGAAAAAATTCTCCCCTGGTAGAGAGTTACAACTTTTGCATTCACAGTATTGACTTATAGCTTGAATTTAAAGAATAAAGCACAGTTCCCAGGATGATAAATTCAGGGATAGAAGGGACCTCAGAGATCATCGAGTCCAACTCCTTCATTTTATAGATGAAAAAAACTCAGGGCCAGAGAGATTCAATGATTTGCCCAAGGTCACACAGGTTTTAAGGAGCAGAGACTGGATTCAAACTCAAGCCCTCTATCTCCGAGTCCTATGCCTTCTCCATCAAACCACAATGACTTCACAACTAGACAGCTGTAAGTAGTGATGAATTGGCTAATAAAGTGCCGAAGCATAGCAAGTATTCTATAAATAGTAGTTGGTCAATTTATTTCAAACATGTGTGATAATATCATTCATGTTATAGTCCAAGGGAAAGTTAAGATGTAAGAGCATTTGAAAATATTTTAATATAAACTGAATTTCAATATAATATGAATTTCAATATTTCCTTCATAAAGGATTATATACTTAATAACATTATTCTGGAAAAGGTTCCATAGGTTTCACCAGACTGCCAAAAGGGTCTGTCACACAAAAAAGGTTAAGAACTCTTTTTCTATAGCTACTTGTTTGTTGAGATCTCTACCTCTTCTCACTTCTACTCCTCTCTTGCTCTCTCTTTAAATATGTTTCACCACTCCTCCTTTTGTGAAGCTTTTTAGTTAATAAAATGAACTTTCCCTCTCTTCCTCTCTCCCCTAATCCCACCCAAAATGTCCATAAAGAAAAATTTAAACATATTTGAAAATGTAGTTCTAATCTTGAATATAATTTTATTCCTTGCTGTAAAATTTAAAATCATAGATGTTTAAACTAAAATATGTATCTCTCAAAAAAGAAATGAAGTTTCCCCATTTATGAACACATTTTTCCCCAATTCAATATCACTGACCAGATATCTTTGCAAAACCCAGAATATATATTAACAGAGCAAATCCATTAAAACAGGAGAAAATTCAAGTAACCAAAGGCTGAACAATGCCACATATTTTTACTTCATTCTCTTCAAATTGAGTCTCTTACCAAAAATATATCAGCATAACCGGCCAAGGATTCTACCCCTTCTTGGATCCGAGCTCCTCCAGAATCATTCAGTCCAATCACGGGAGCCCCGACCAGCAGAGCTTGATCCATGATCTATAGGGAGCACAAAGACCTGTGTTATAATGACATTCCCTCAATATCCAGTGGCACTCAATTAACACACAGCATTTTATTAACACATGTTCATAGCATTTTTCATGAATGGTTTACCGAAGCTGGTGAAAAGAATGCCAATTTGGTTCATTTTACTAACTAAATACCTTCACAGAAGGAAGAACATTGTGAAACATATTCAGTGAAGCATATTCAAAACAACACTACATTCAAATCTTTAAAAAAAACCCAGGAACCTTCGCTCATTCTCTAAATTTGCAAGAGAGAGAGATCTATTTTCCTATGACAAGTACAGTTATCCCTTCTACATCCCAACTTTCCTAATTGCGGTTTTGATATATCACAGGTCAGTGTAAGAAATTAAATGGGAATTTTGAGGTAGTTTTGTGGAAGCTGCGGATAAAGCCAGCAGATGATACAGAAAAAGGCTAGGAACTCAGAAATGCATAAAATATATGAATAGTATTGTATAATATCAACATATTTTATTTTTTAATACCATAATAATTCAGACTTCTTCTCTGGTACGACGAGAGGGCCAAAAAATTGTATGTGGATTTTCCAGATCATGGGGGTGAAATGCCCTCAATCCTCTTGATGTGTAAGGGATAACTGTATTTTTTAAAACATCAGCCTATATGCTTTTTTTTAGTGCACTCAGTAGCCAATAGTCTTTTTGGTGCACAAAATCAGTTACCATGATTACTTGTTCAAAAGCACTATGGAGTGGGCAGTAACCTGTCTGCACGGACATGCCAACCAAAGCCTGTCTTGTACTTGGTCCCAGACTGCATCTTTTCCTTCCTTGTCTCCAGCCCCTGACACATCCTTTTCCTACGATCCAGATACCCCTGACAGAAAAAAGGTACTTTGGACACTACAAGACATCTATATCATCTTTATCCTCAACCCCAAATCTCAGCAAACCGATTCTCTACTTTTTTTCTGCTCCTGGGCTTCTTATAGCACAGGCTGGCATTGTTACCAGAGGTTCAATTAGACTCCTAAGGGCTGTCAAGGGCTGTTTACATTTCAACAGAAATCCACTTAAAGTACAATGAAAAGAGTTAGGCATTTTTTGGTAGCTAAATATTTACTTTACAGATCTTCTGGGCATGAGCTCCTGACAGGCTTCCTCCAAACACTGTAAAATCCTTAAAAAAAGAAAAAAAAAGAGGAAGAAATGACCATTAAAATTTGAAAAGATGAGGGGAGAATGCAGTGAGAGCAGGGTGGGGTAAGGGAAAAAGTTCTTCTCTTCATTTTTCCTAAGAACTTTTAGGAACTTTCTTTTATCTTGCGAAAATTTTGTATTATGAATTATTTTCAAATAATGAATCAAGTATTTAATAAAAGGTACTGCCATATTGTTGCTACCCAGATTTTCATTCTCAAAGATGGTCTAACAGCTATGTAATATGAAAACAAGTGTAAAATTAGGGGCAGCTGGGTGATGAAATAGATACAGTGCTAGGCCTGGAGTCTGGAAAACCTGATTTCAAATCCAGCCTCAGACACTTACTAGCTGTGTGGCCCTGGGTAAAGTCTCTTAATATCTGCTTGCTTCAGTTTCCTCATCTGTAAAATGGGGATAATAACAGCACCTGCCTCTCAGGGTTGCTGTGAGAATCAAATGAGATAATAATTGTAAGGCATTTAACACCGTGCCTGGCACCCAGCAGCTGCTATATAACTGGTACATATTATTATTATCATTATTATTATTAAAATTATTTACCACATGATATTACAATTCCCCTTATACTAAAATCAAAATGTATTTCCATCATGCCATTTTCGTAAGAGAAGAATCACAGGATCACAGTTTTAGAGCTGGAAGACACTTTAGAGACCGTCCAGCCTAAGCCACTTATCTTACAGCAGAGAAAATTGATTAATGGAGTGTAGAGGACCACAGGTGAGTAGGACTCTGACCCTGATGGCCGTATAAGCTCTCCCAGGTGAGGAGCCTGCTCCTTGGCCTGGATCGGTTCTCCACTCCCCAGAAAGGGTGGCTTGGCAAGCTCAACCATAAACAACGTTGCTAGCTCAAGCACAAATATGTATCAAGTATTGGCACATTCCGGGAACAAGAAGTCCATGGTGTTTTCACGGGAACAGCCTGGGAGAAGGACACAGCCAGGAGAATGTTGCAAAGAGATATGCTTGTTGATACTTTGATTGGTATTCGCATGAGAAAAATTCTCCGTGTTGCCCACTGGTAAAGATATGTAAACTTTGTTGCTTTGTCCACTGTTACACTGGGGTATATTCCCATGAGTCAAAGATATAAAACTGCCTACTGTGCTCTAATAAAGTTGACTCAGTTTTCCATCATGCTTGGATCTCTTTCGTATTTGCCTTGCAGTCTTCGGTCAAGAACCCTTTCGCAGGCTTAGCTGCTGGTCAGCAGAGCTGCCCCAACTCACAACAACTCACAATGGAGAAGTTAAGAGACTAGCCCAGAGTTAACAAAGTTGGGTAGATGTTTTATTTATTTGCTTTTTGGTGAGGTGACTGAGGTTAAGTGACTTGCCCAGGGTCACACAGCTAGTAAGTATCAAGTGTCTGAGTCTGCATTTGAACTCGGGTCCTCCTGACTCCAAGATCAGAGTTCTATCCACCTAGGTGCCCCCTGATTAAGTGTTTTAAGGACAGCATTTGAACCCAGGTCTTTCTGACTGAATCCCCAGACTGCCTCTCAGATGCCTCTTTGTTAGTGGGCTTCCTCTAGCTAACTTTGGTTGATCTGGTTAAGGCTTTTGGTAGCTGTCCTCCCATCCTGAGTAGGCCTCAAAGGACTAAATACAGAGACAGTTGTATCCCTATATCCAAAGGCAAAAATATAAACAATGGCAGAGCGAGGAATGAAACCAGCTGTCCACTCGATGGCACACACATTTATGGAACGCTTCAAAGTTTGCCAAGCGCTCTCCTCACAATGGCCCTATGACCTGGTGATGCCAATATTATTTCCCCCATATTACAAGGGAGAAAACTGAGGCAGGAAAAGGTTAAATGAGTTGCCTATGATCACTTTGCTATAAAATGACTGAGATGGGAACGTGGGTCTTCTAACTCCTCCACCCTTCCATGGGACTTCCTCTCACTTAGTGTCAGTGCTGGAAAGATGTTTTCAGAGATCAAGACACTCAGAGCATCCTCAAGTATGTGGCTCCCGTTGGCCCCACGCCCCACCTCCCTCCTCCAGCCGGACTCCCCCCTCCACACCTCCTGTCTCTCAGCTGCTGCTGAAGTGAGTGTAAGCAACTGGTCTCCGTGTGGAAGTTCACCAAATCAAGGGGTAAATGAACATGTGAAACAATCAGAGAGGCTTGTTACAGTCCAGGCCAGTCTTCAATTTTCACAAGTTCTTTGAAGATCATAAAACTATGCCGTCAGAAGCAGCAGAAACTGCTGCCAGGAAGAGCTTGGAAAAAGAGAGATTATAACAATGTGGCAAAATGCATTGGGGATTTCTGCCCCCTGCTTTTATTTTCTCAAATAACACACTTTCTATAGCGTACTGACACAGAAGAGGTGAAAGGATCCAGAAAACGTGCCTTTGTCTGCCTCACTGACATTGATGGCTTCTCCTATTCAAGTTTTTTTAACCCATTTCTCATAAATTACCCAAAATGAAACATTTTCAAGTCAATTAGTCAGGATAGTTATAATTATTGCCTAAATAAATTATACTTCAATAAACTACATAGGCTGCTAGTGGTGCAGTAGTTGGAGTGCTGGGCCTAGAGTTAGGAAGACTTGAGTTCAAATCTGTGCTAGCTGTATGTCCCTGGGCAACTTACTTAAAAAAAAAATCTCTGCCTCAGTTTCTTCATCTGTAAAATGAGGATAATAATAGCACCTACCTCCTAAAATTGTTATGAGGATAAAATGAGGTAATATTTGTATAACATTTAGCAAACCTTAAAGAATTATGTAAATGCTAGCCATAATGATTACTATTATTATTGTATTTTTAATATGCCAAACTTACTTGATGGGTAGGTATGGACAAACCAACATACATATAATGTATTTTATGTTTCTAAACTAATTTTAGACCTGTGCAGGGCACTAAAGTAAAGCATTACATATATTTAAATTTTCTTCTCCCAAAAACATCTACCTGGAAAAAGCTACTTATTTCACATGGCCTGATAACAACTATAATTATGAATACTTTCAAGGGAACACATGCTTTTACTATTCAACTCCTTGGCTAAGAAAAATACCATAGTTATATGATTAGGATTACAAGCACAGTAATCTAGGAAATATTCTCTATTCCAAGACATCTTCCATCTGGAACACGACCTCATTCACTAACTACCTCCAGGAGGAAACTCACAATCTCTAGAATCAATATCACAACATAACACCCATTCTGCTTTGAGAATCTCCTTAGAACATAATGCTCTACTAAAGTCATATATTTCCTCAGGAAAAATTCATGAGACATGCCCTTAATACTCATATTCATTCCTTCATTTATTCATTAAGCATTTATTAAACAGTCCATTTACATTCTACTATGACTCCACCTTGTGGCTAACCTTTATAGGTTTTTAATCATGGCCTTAATTTTTACTAAGTTTTATTGATGACTTTATATTTATATCCTATTTATTTCCATCCTCACCATAAAAAGAAAAGTAGTTATGCAAAACTGACCAACATAGAGTGATCATGTCTAAGAGTATATATGACACTGTATCCACAGCCCCCACCTCTCTGAGAAAATAATCATGGCCTTTAGATAGCTCTCCCCTGATTACAGACTGACCCACCCAGAAGCAGAAGTTTCACTTCCTCTAGACCACCTGATTCTTTCTTGCTCCCTTCTCCTTTTAGACTGCTGAATTTCAACATATTACAACAGGTTCTGCTAGATGTAATGACTGAATGTTCACAAGGAATATGCTATACCTGACTGAAGACATAAACCAATCTTCCATTGATCCGGCCCCGGCCAGTTACCACACTGTCCCCAGGAAACTGTATGGAAAAGAAATCAAAGGACATAAGAGTCAAGACATAAACATTATCCATTTTAATGAACATGATTGTTGCTTTGTAACAAAAAAGAAAAATGAAAGCTAAAACAACCCCACAGAGGGTTACAAGTATGAACAATGAATACAAAACACCCATGAGCTCCATTAATGCAATCACACTGGATTAGAGATTTTTCAGATTTCTAAACCCAAATAAGAAACAAGAACTTGTAGTATAGTTTTAGGTTAATTCTGCTCCTAAAAGCATGAAGCTCCCAGAGAGCTAGAGGTCTAGAATTATCGATTCATACAATCACAGAGTCTCAGGGTTGCAAGGGTTCTCAGAAAATGCTGACAGTCATGTATTTTAACATTTTTTAAAGTAAAAAACCAAACATGGCATTTTCTCAAAAGGAAAGCCACCATTTTAAAAGGAATTTCAACAATCAATGGGAATTCTTCCAAAAAAGACTAATGTAAATACCATCAAGCCATTAATTTCCCAGCCACAGACTACAACAGACCCACACCTAGAAAAACCAGATCAAGCTTAATGTTATAAAGTTAAGTACAGAGAACTACACACGTCTAGTTATGTAACTGATAGAGAGCTGTGAAAATCGAATTATGATTCACTTGGTATAAAATAAACAAACAAAAAAACCCATAGAAAATATCTTACTGAGCTCTCCTTATCTAAACTTTGCCTCTCCCCCAGGGCCCAGTAGTGTACACAGCATCTATTAAATGTGTTATATTTCTATTTCTTGTTAAGTTAAAATATATATATGTATATACATACATACATATATATATGTATATATATATGCATATACATACATACATATATATGTATATATATATGTGTATATATATATGTATATGTGTGTGTGTGTGTGTGTGTGTGTGTGTGTGTAATGGTCAAACTTTGTGATCTTCTTTGCCCAGCTAAATCAGAACGATATTAAAGTGTTACTTTGAACATTTGTTCCAGGACCTTTTTTCTACAGTGCTAAAAATCTAAGAAACCAAAATAGACTGAGCTTATGAAAAACGCATTATCGTGATGAACTGTCAAACAATATGCAAGCCTAAGAGAAGAGACTGCCTAAAGGAGAACTCTGACTTGAGTTCCTCTCTACACAAAGCTGGGACATATTACGTCAATCAAAAGCCCAACGGGGGACCTGAGTCATCCGGGGGACCTTCCTCTGAGATGCCCAAACTATGCCCTATACCAGGACTAAACAGTTACTGAATACCAGGACGCCAGGGGAAAGACTCATACATTCATTAGTGTGTATCACGGATTTTTTTTTTTGCTGGACCTGTGATTTCATCAGTGATTTCCCTCTGCTAGTGGAAATCAGCAACTGTTTCTGCAACCTCAAACCTCAGAGAATTACTCAGGGAGCTCAGAGGTTGAGTGACTTGTGGTTTGCATTAGATATAACATGACCCTAGGCCTTTCTAACTGAGGCCAGCCCTCTTCCCATTGTACAACAGGGCCATGAGTAGAGTAGATAAGTAGATGTAATAATATCTGTGTAGCAGAATTGTATATACCACAGCTCTGAATAAATACCTTATTTTTATCAGACGCCATTCCAAAATCAGCACATCTGTGTTCCACAAACATATCACTTTCAACAAAACTCCCAGGGTCCAACAAGACACTGATTCGCTCTCTGGCTGTTAGTTTTCCCTAAAATTAAAAACAACACACAAAGTGCCCTGAATAAATCAGTCTGTAAATCACGCAAGGAAAAATAAGGGAAAATTGGCTTATAAGTGACCACGTCTCACCTTCTATCACTCTTTACTCATCTGTACTCCCTTTCCTTGGCCCCCACCATCATAAACATGGCTACTTTATTCGACCTGCCCTGGTTAAGATACAGGTTAAAATGCTGTTTCCCTAGTCTGACAGAAATTAGGTTTAGACAAACATCTCACACCATATACAAAGATAAGTTCCAAATGATAACATGACTTAGATATAAAAGGTCACATAAACAAATCACAGGATCAAGTAAGTAAATATCTTTTGTAACTGGATCGGAGAAGAGTTCATGACGAAATAAGAGATAATGAATATCACAAAAATTGAAATAGGCAATTTTAATTACATAACATTTTAAAGGTTTTGCATAAATGAAACAATGCAGTTAAAATTTAAAGGGAAAAGGTTAATTGGCAAATAATATTTGCAGTAAGTTTTTTTTTATAGCCAAGATATGTAAGATATTGAAATATCTAAGAACCAGAGCCATTATCCAATAGATAAATGATCAAAGGATAGGACAGGCAGTTCTCAACAGAAGTCCAAGCCATGAACAGATATAAAAAAAAAATGTTCCAATGGGGAGAAAATTTGGAACTCAAAATCTTACGGAAGTGAATGTTGAAAATTAAAAATAAATTTTAAAAAATTTTTAAATAAAAATAAATGTTCCAACTCACTAATAATTAGAGAACTGCAAATTAAAGCAACTATGAAATTCTACTTCACATCCATCAGACTGGCAAAGATGACAATTGTTGGAATAGCTTCAGGAAAACAGACACACTAATGTGTAGTGGAGTTGTGAAATGATCTAGAATTCTGGCTGGACCTTGTGGAACACTTTGAAATTATCCCCCCAAATGACTAACCTGTATACATCCTTTGGGCCAGTAACACCTTTATTAGGCCCATACCTCGATGTGATCAAAGGAGGGGGAGCCAGATGTACAAAAATATTTACATCAGCTCTTTTTGTAATAGCAAAGAACTGAAAACTCAGGTGGTATGCAAACTAGTAATGGTTTAATAAATTAAAGCAAATTACTGTAATGGAATATTAGTGAACCCTAAGAAATTATGAAGAGGACTGCTTCAGAGAAACCCAGGGAAACCTGTATGAACTGATGCAAATTGAACAATTCATACAATAACAACACTGTAAAGAAAAATAACTTTAAAATAAATTTGATCAACGAAATGATCATCTAGAGGGCTCAGGAGGAAGAATGTTATTCACCTCCTCATAGAAGAGAAGGGTTCAAGTGCAAAATAAGATATGCATTTCAAAAAACTGTTAGTAATGGAGTTTGTTGAGCTTGATTATGCATATTTGGTATGAGTATGGATTTTATTTTATTTTTCCAACAAAGGGGTAAAGTAGGAGGGAAACTAAATTTGTTAGTGGAAAAAAATAAAATAGGAACTTTTATTTTTTAAATGTTTTATGTTATGAAAAAAATTTATAATAAAAAATAAATTAAGAACTCTAATCAATACAATGACCAATCACGATTTCACAGGACCGATGAAGAATGTTACTCACTTCTTCCTGACTGGGAGGTTACATCAGTACAGAATGACATATGTTTTTGAAGAGTCCAACCAGGGAATTTATTTTGCTTGACTATGCATAATTTATTACAAGGATTTTGGTTTACTGTTTCCCCCCCAATGGGCTGGGAAAGAACATAAATGTTTGTTGATTAAAAAAACAAACTTTTAAAGAGCCAGAGGTGGTTAGCCGCGTTAGGGATTTTAATGCCCTCTTCACTCACACAATCAGCGTGTGGGACAAATGGGGTGAAGTTGCAACGCCGGCAGACGCGAAAGGTGAAAAGCGTCTGGGGGTGCCCTCAGCGCACCAGCGGCGAGGGGTTCACGCTCTCTGGGCCTCCCTTCCTCATGCATAAAAGGAGGGGGTTGCAAGAAAAGCGTGTCTGTGGTTCCCGCGCCCCCGCCCCAGCTCTTCCTAAGCTCCTGGCTCAATGCCTCCACCTGTCCAAACCTGCCCGGATGCCTCAGCTTGCGGGTCTTTAAGAAACAGACACATGCCTCTCAGCTACCTGCACATACACAAGGAAGACAAAAAAGGTGAATGTATTTTTAAAGTAACTGTAACATAGGACCCCTGTGGAGCTGGAGCGGGGGGAGGGGTGGAGCCCCTTTACTGAAACATATTGGAAAGTGGGAGGGGCTAGGGCACGCCTCCCGGACTGCATTTCGCTGATTGGCTGGCTCGAAGTGGGCGTCTTTGAGCACGCCGCGTAGTAATAGGCCAAGATCAGATAGAGGCGGAGCTTGAGGCTTGGCATCCTTTCAGACTCACCCGTTTGTGCTGCGCATCGATACGGGACTGACCGCCTCCGAGCAGTGCTTCTTGGCGTTTCCGTTCGATGCGCTCATTAACGGTGACGGGCTGGGTGCAGTATCTCCGGGCCTGTGCCGTCCAGCCCCTGGTACTGCTCACCAGAGCGCACCGGACGGTCCCAGCCGCTGCAGTCCGCAGTGCAACCGCCATCTTTGTTCTGGTGTCTTGTCCACCTTGTTCCCCACTTTGTCTCACTGCGCCGGCGCATTGGAGACATTGGGCGTATTGAGCATGCGCTGCCGGCTCTGCTAGAACAGCGCATATCCAACTTCCAGAGGTGAAGATGGACTGGGCAGGCGCGCAGGGTGTTTTGTCTCTCCGTCCACGTGGTTGTGCCTGGTTCGACAACCTTGGTAGAGTTTCGCAAGTGGTAAGAGTCTGAGCATAAGCTGCTGAAGTTGCAGTGTGACCTGTTCTCCGGAGGAGTAACCTGACTGACCCCTGTCCTAGGCCCTAAAGTATTGCAATATCCTATTAACAAGGCTTCTTTCCAAGTATCCTTCCTACAGCTACCAGAATAATCCTGGTTAATAATTGCACTGATCTACTCAAAAGCCTTATCTGATACACTTTTGCCTACTTATTAGAATTCAAAAATCCTATAGTGCAGTACTAAATAAATAGTCCCAGCTGTATTTTATAGGAATGCCCAAAAGAAATCCTTACTCCCACTAAACAGAACCACTTCACAGGCCCACTTTTAAACAGTCCTAATTGTTAATTTCTTCCCTATTTCCCCCAGCCTTACTCCCCCAACGTTACAGGCATAGAGTTCCCACCTTTGAGACTTTGGGGCACTGAGTAGCAAAACAGTAGATGACAAATTTCTCCTTAACATTCCTGTTTATCTGTGGCTGTTCCCAAAGAAGATGATGTCTCCAAAAAGTCTGAATCAAAGCCTGAATATTTGCTTGGAGCTGTATTATACGTGCTTTTGTTCAGTATGCCATGGGTGAAAGTTCAAGGACTCTGGTTATACCACCCAACAGCCAAACATGACAAGCATTCAGTTTTATGCAGCAGAGTGTTACTAAAGTTGATTATTAACCACGGCATACATAAAAGAGTGTTTAAATTGGTTGATGGCTGTAGCTGGATTGTAAATATTTCCAATGAGTCACACAGGAGTGAAAGCCCTCCTTTCTGTTCAGCAATCCCTGTATCATTTCCCATGATAGTAGTTTCAGACTTCAGGAACAGGCATTTAGTACACACTTACTTAGTATGTACCAGGTACTTGTTAAGATAGGTGCCAGTCATACAAAGAAAAGAAGAAAAAAATCCTGCTGAAAGGAGCTCACAGTAGAATGGGGTAGACAACATCATTTTAACCATAACTTATTCATTTATTCCTCCCTTAACCTGCCCTCCCTCTAATTCCCCTCTCCCTTTCTCCCCTTTTGCCTACTCTTTACATGTTGATTGAAATATATTTATGTACTCAACTCTGTGTGATATGTATTCTTTCCTCCTTTGTCCTAATTTAAGTAAGAGGGAAGTTCAAGTGTCATCTGCTCTCCTCTTTCCTCCTTTATGCCTTCGGATTATGTGAGATGATTTTCTCTAATCTTTCTTTCCCTTCTCCCTCTCCCCCTCCCAATATATTTTTCTTCCCCTCTTTTGCCATTCTTCACTTAAGATCAAGACATAGGGGCAGCTAAGTGGTGCAGTGGGTAGAGCACCAGCTCTGAAGTCAAGAGGACCTGAGTTCAAATCGGGTCTCAGATACTTGACACTTAATAGCTGTGTGACCCTGGGCTAGTCACTTAACCCCATTGCCAACCCCCCCCCAAAAAAAATCAAGACATAATGAAATGAAACTACTCCCAGACGTATTCTTTGATTAGACTCCCTCTATGACCCCTGGTAACGATAAAATTCAGAAGGGACACATGTATCTCATCATACTTGAATGTAAGCAGTTAATCCCTGTTCGTTCATGTTTACCTTTTCATGTTTCTCTTAACTCCTATTTTTAAACTTCATAGTTTCTGTGCATCCCAAGTCTTTTGATCAGGAATCCTTAAAAGTTCTATATCAATTAAAAATACATTTTTGTCTCCTCCAAGACTATACTCAGTTTTGTTGGATAAGTTATCCTTGGCTATAAGCCCATATCCTTTGCCTTCTAAAATATTATGTTCTAAGCTCTCTGCTCCTTTATAAAATGGTGACTGCTAAATCATGTGTGATTCTTGCTGTGATTCATTGATATCGGAAGTTTTTCTTTCTGGCTGCTTGCAGTATTTTCTTCTTCTTCTTCTTCTTCTTTTCTTTTTGGTTAGGCAGTCAGGTTAAGTGACTTGCCCAGGGTCACACAGAGTATTTTTTCTTTAACTCTGGATTCTGATTATAACATTCCAGAGAGTTTTCATTTTGAGGTTTCTTTCAGGAGGTGACCAATGGTTTCTATTTTTGCTTTGCCCTCTGGTTCTAAAAGATATGGGAAGTTTTCAACATTTCTTGAAAATGATGTCATGGTTTTCAGGTAGTTCAGTGATTCTTAAATTTTTTTCATCTTGATCTGGTTTCCAGATCAACTGTTATTGCTATGAGATACCTTATATTTTCTTCTACTTTTTTAAGGTTTTTAAACTTTTAGTACTTGTTATCTCATAGAATCATTTACTTCTATATAGTTCATTTGCATTTTGGGGTAGTTTGTTGCTTCAGCCTGAGGTCTGCAACTGCTCCTTACCTCAATACTCTCCTTACTCTGACATGGCTGGACTTTCCTCCTCAGTCTGCCTCACATCTGTGAGCCAGAACTGGTTAGTGAGTGGCAAGGTTATCAGTTGGTACCTGTTCCCACACCCTACATGAATTTATGGTTTACCCATATGGGTCTTGGACCTCCTCTTGCCCTGGTGCAGAGCCCCTCGTTGTATTGGAGTGCTCAAGCCAGCCAGCCCCTGGCATGTTCCTGGACAGACTCTGTCAACAAACCTCTGTGTCTCCCTATGCTGACACGGGCTAGAAAAAAATCTCACTGTGACCTGGATTTGATCTGATATATCTTCTGGATCTCTTTGAAGGAGTTTAGTTTGGGGAGGGGAAACTGGCTATTCCTTTTTCCTCTACCATCTTGGCTCTTCTCAGCCCCTTCTGCTACATCTGACGATTGGCCAATAACTCTCCTTCTTGAAAAAAGTACTCTATATCTGATATTTTATTTCTTCTCTATCCAATATTTTGTCAACATTTTCCTGTCTAGCTCTTGTCTCCATAACTGCAGGATCCAAAGGCCTTTTTAAAAAAAAAATCAGCATTTATCCTATTAACTGTCTAAGAATCACAGAATCTCAGAATTGGAAGAGATCTTAGGGGCCATCTAGTTCAACCCTTAGGTGACTCAGAATCCTTTCTATAATATTCCCAACAAATGGTCATATATCCTCAGTTTGAAGACTCTCAGTAAGGAAGAACCCACTCCTTCCTCTCTTCTACTTTGGAACGGCTTATTAGGAAATTTCTCCTTAAATCAAGCCTAATTTCCCTTCTACCATATCCAGCTATCATTTTTTTCCCCCACCCTCTGGAACACAGCAAGTGCTGTCCCACAGAACAGCCTTTTGACATAATAAAAAACTGCTAACACGTCCTCCTAAATCACCTCTTCTCTAGCCTAAACATTCTCAGTTCTTTGAAAAGTTTCTATATAGCATGGCATGAGTCTAGTCCAGTCGCCATCCTGGTCGCACACTTCTGGAGGTCTTTGATTTGTTTGTCTAGGTGCTTCCTAAAACAGGTTACTCTGAACTGAGCATTGTGCTTCCAACGCGATCTGACAAGAGCAGTTTGTAGTGGAATTATTCCCTCCCTTTGTTCTGTATGCTGTGTCTCTCCATGCAACCTAAAATATTCTGTCTACCGAAATGTCAGTATAATCTCTGAGTCAGTTGTCTGTGTGCATCAATGGGTCGGAAGCAAGCTCAATTAACAAAAAATAAGATAAAAATGAGGAAAATATATGACCTTGTATGATTTAAGCAGGGCAGCTAAGTGGCACAGTGGATAGAATGCCAGGTCTGAAGTCAGGAAGACTCATCTTCCTAAGTTCAAATCTGGCCTCAGTTACTTACTAGCTGTATGACCCTGGGCAGGTCACTTAACCCTCTTTGCCTCAGTGTGCTCATCTGTCAAAGGAGCTGGAGAAGGAAACGGCAAACCACTCCAGTAGTGCTGCCAAGAAAACCCCAAATAGGATCACAAAGACGCAGCTGAAAAACGACTGAACAACAAGAAGCCATTTAAATAAATAATGATAAAAATGGGAAATATGCAACAGAAATGACATTAACACCAGCTCTAGTAATTTTATCAAGGAGTTTAACCGTTGTAAATTAATTGTCACAATAAGAAAGCACTTTAGCAAACATCTAGTGTATCATCATATACCTAGAGCTGGAAGGGACCTTAGAAGTTATCAAGTAGAACCACTTCATTTACAGATGTGGAAATTAGGCTCACAGAGATGAAATGACTTGCTCAGGGTAACACAGCTAATAAGTATCTGAGGCGAGATTCACCCTTGGGTCTTCCAGACTCTGGGTCCAAAGCTGTATTCACTGTTCGGCATAGCTGTCTCCTTTGGCTTACTTGCCAAACTGAGCAAGTCAGCTGCCAAAGGCAATGCTGGTTAGAATATTAGTTCATTTGTAAAATCTTGCAAAGAATTTCAGGATCGCACAAGAGCTTTTGATACCTCAAAAAGGAAAAAAAAATGTTTACAATCAGGAATAATTTGTTCAAGACTGATTATGATCACACATGGGAAGATGGATCTTTAATGGAACAGAGGACCTTCAGGCAATTTTATTGAAAAGACAAGTGCTAAGCAGAAACTTTGAAATGCAAACATGGGAGTTGAGAGGAACCTAGAAAGAAATGGATGGGCTAAATGATAATAAGAGCTTCTTTAATGATGAAGTGACAGCTAGATATGGAGCTGATAAGATATCGGAATTAAGAGTCAAAACCTTAGGTTAAATCCTGCCTCAGATACTTATTAGCTGTGTGACTCTGGGCAAGTCACTTAACCTTTCTCAGACTGTTTCCTTATAAGTAAAATAGTAAGGGCAACTGGGTGGTACAGTGGATAGAGCTCTGGCCTTGGAGTCAAGAGGACCTGAGTTGAAATCTGACCTTTGACACTTATTAGCTGTGCCACCCTGGGCAAGTCACTTAACCCCAATTGCAAAAAAAAAAAAATACCTACTTC